TTTGAAATTACGACTTTTTACACCGGAAAAAATGCCAATTACTGAAAACGGCGAATTCTGTTGCAGGTTTGCTATGGGTACAGGTGTGCTATGGGTGCAGGTGTGCTATGGGTGCAGGGGTGATATAGGTGCTATCGGCATTTAAGTAAAACGTAACTTAAATATTCTTTGCCTAGTAGAGCACATATGTATTCATTAGGCCTCAGGTTGCCAGTATTAGCCCTATGATGGTTAGGTTAGGGTTTTATTAGCAACATTGATTGATTGATGAAGATTAAGCCACCCAAGAGGTGGCACGGGCATGAATAGCCCGTAAATCAGCAACATAATTACGAAACCTTTCCCCGTTTGTCCAATAGTACCAAATTGTACTAAGTGTCCATTGCGTCAATATATGTACGGTGGCCCACATCGTTACTCTAAGTACCATGTAAACAGGTGGATGAGCTGGATTGAAATACACAATTCGTGAAAATTGACGAGTGCGTCCTAACGAGCCGGGCCTGAGGACAGGTTGGCTTCCACGACACTGATTCACTCTGACTTGCATGGAAGCAACCCTCAAAGCCAGCACACGTTCTAGTTTACTGTATTTTTACTCTATTTTTACTGTATTTTACCTAGTATTTTCGCACAATCTTTTCCATCATCTTGCATGGAATGCAAGTTATGGACACTGGCCTGTAGTTCAGTGCCTCCTGCCTATCACCCTTCTTGTATATTGGGACTACACTGGCTGTCTTCCAAATTTTTGGCAGTTCGCCTGTTACCAGTGACGTTCTGGTTGGCTTCCTCACTTCCTCACGCATAATACAAAAATGTATAGAGGGAAAAGGAGTTTGTCTATGGCGGGAAGATATTCACGTCGGCGCGCAAGATTCGGGACACGTACAGTACGCGGTACGATAACTGCCAACTGGAAGTAATGATGGGCTAGTAAGAATGAGAGAGGAAGTCTGGCATTGGCACGCGGCTGTCAGTCGACCAACATCGGCGCCGCTCGCCCCTCTCTTCGTTAGTTCAGGTAAGCATTTACTTTCGATTAATAAAGGCTGCTGAAGATGGCTTTACGAAGGGCTGATCATGGCTTTACGAAGGGCTGATCATGGCTTTACGAAGGGCTGAACATGGCTTTACGAAGGGCTGATCATGGCTTTACGAAGGGCTGATCATGTTTGCTTTCATTTGAATCTAACATTTTTGAGACAGTTGATAGTGAAAAGATTGTGAAAGCTTTGAATTCTGGGGCACATACAGCACTGATTAGTAAGGTAGAGGCTGATGGTTTTGGGGTGCTGTCTTAATTTGGATAAAGTCATGGCTATATCAAAGGAAACAAAGAATTAGTATAAATAGAGTTAGCACAGAGCGGGAAATATAAGTGGAGTGCCCAATGCTCTGTCCTGGGGCCTCTGTTATTTAACATGTATATAAATGATTTAGATACAGGATTGAACAAGAATATTTGCAGAGATATGAAAATAGGGCAGGAAATGATTTAAAAAAAAACTCAGTCATTTTAAGATGATCTTAATAGGCATTTGAAATGGGCGAAAGTTTGGCACATGTAGTCTAACGTTGAAAATATAAGGTGCTGAGGCTACGTAATTATAGCGTTGCCAAATATCAGCTGGATTGTGCTTAAATTTCGAAGTCTGAATGCGAAAAAGTTCTGGGCTTCATGATTAGTAGTATTCTTAAGTCAAAAAAGTTAGTTTTAGTTTAGTTCATTTATTATGCACCCCATACCCATCTTGAGGGCGGTAGTGGAAAGGGTTACAGAGGCACATAATGGGCTCAGGGACTGAACCCCACAATTCATTTAGCTAAGCAAGTTAAAATCTTGATGAGCTAGTTACAAAATTCAATATAAGTCGTCACATCAACAAAGGGTTCGAGATCGACCACAAGTACAGGTTCTAAATTAAGCAACTGACATATGTGGAGAGCTAGTGTCACAATTGATATGTTTGTCCTGCACACCGCCCCCCATCTAGTGGGCAGCGGTGGATAGGTTACAATCACTTAGTTACTACCTACAGTTAGCAAACTGGGGATATTTAGCTAAAATTTCTGGTAGCAGATCATTTTGAATGAAATATTGACACATCGCTGGAACATTGGTTATAGAATTGTCTCTAAATTCACGTATCTTTTCGCACTCCATCACATAGTGACGGAGGGTGTGCGAATAATTTTGTTGACACAGTTTACATTTGGTCAGGTCTACATCGGCAGATCGAATAAAAAAAAAGTCAATGATAAATGTTTGGAATTTATGTAAACAAATTTGAACGCTGGACTTGCCCGACTTAGGCTACGCATTCTATTTTGGGAGTCCATGTCAGGCTCTGTGTATTTGTTTGAGTACTTGCAAGTGTGTTTGTATGTGTGCTCACCCAGTAGTTCTGACAGGTCCACCATCAGCTACTAGGTCCCACCTAGTCTATTGTCGATCACCTGATGCATTGCCTTTCCAGATTTTGACTTCCTCGTCAAACACTCAACTTTCTAATCACACGCTTAAGAAAATCTTATTTACATTCATAAGAAAAATTCGTATGTTATTTATCTGTATCTGTAACTTCCAGTCTTGGACAAGCTCCCTCAGTTTTTCCTCATAGCCTAATCTGCTCCGGAACCAATCCTATGACTCCTGTTTTGCGTACACCGCTGATGTTATTCTGGTGTCATGCACCTCCAGTGTCTGGCTAGCAAGTATGTCTACTTGATCATGTTAGTTTATTCTGGCTACAGTCTTCCACTCAGAGTGTGGCGTCCGTCGGTCTGCTAGGCTTCTGCTTAGCCTATCGAAATCACGTCCATGAAACATGCCACTCACTCTATATTATAGTGTGTTTATGATAGGTTGGCCTCGCTGTGTTGTGAGTTCGTGTCTGAGAATATTCTCTGAACGATGTGCTCGCAAAAAACACAAATATGCCGTGATAGACCACCAGAAGGAAGACTTTTGTAGTATTGAATTTGGACAAACCGAGAAAGGTTTTTATATTTGTTACTGATGAAACCACCTAAGGTAATCATCTTAGGACTTAATATACGCTATCAGAGGCCTAATAAAGTGTATATATTGTGACGGTGTAAAAAAAAATAGGTGTTATTGCAGTCTTCCCTAGGCAGATGGAATGCCTGTCACAAAATTAAAAATTAAAGAAAAAAAAACAAACTGCAAATTGTCTTCACTGTGAGGTTAACTGTAGGAGAAAACATAGAGAACAAAAATTTAAAAATACTTTACTCTAATAGGAATTACTTTAAACAAATTACAAAATATATAATATCCAGGCTTGGCTTTAATACAAAGTATACAAAACAAACAAGATGAATAATCAAATTTACGTTACGTTAAGGTGCAAAATAAATTATGGTGCAGAGTACTGTGAGTCAAACACAATAGCTCTGTTACCACGCCGAGATGTGTCAACAGGTCTACTCAGCGAGAGCACTCAGGAGTAATCTGAATCTTAGCGATTGATTGATTGATAAAGATCTTAGCGAGCTTGGTAGACCTATATATACAGAATATCGACGGAGCAGATGGTGCTGATGTCTTCTTTAAACCATGAACCTTTAAACTATGAACCGGCTCCTTTAACTGCTTGTTACGGAGGGCGTGGCCTCCCAGCGACCCAGGTGCGAGGTGGGGTGACGGGCCATGGTGCAGGAGGGGGACTGGTAGACTGGTGGTATTTCTAGACGTCTGCAAGTAGTAGTTGTTGTTGGCTGCAGTTCTTGATTACATAGACGTGAATGAGTAGAATAGGCGATAATGAAGTAGGCCGAATCTCTTCCTAGAGATTTTACCGTGACAATATATATATATATATATATATATAACTATATATATATATAACCGCTGAGTGCCGGCGGTTAATGGTCCCCAGGACTTTTTTACTTGTTTTCTGTACCCTATAAAAATATAGCACCAAAAGTGACTTACTGGAGCCCGATTACTACATATTGGAACGATCAACCACATAATTACAAAATGTCTTATTAAAACAGTACGACTAATTTTCCCCGGAATACGACTCTCCAAACCGTTTAACACCCAGGTACCCATTTACTGCTGGGTTAATAAAGACTACAGTTTGGGATTGTCGCCCAGTCAATCCTCCCCCGCCAGGATACGAACTCAGGCCAAAGAGAACAAGAGGTGTGTGTGTGTTACCTTTTTGCCACAGGGACTGCTTCCTTTGTGTACACTGTTATTATTATTGAAGGTGAAGGCAAGACCCAATATACGTGGAAGCGTGTTAAAAAACAATTTTTCGGATGCAGCCTACATCCCTTCTCAAGGTTCTATATACCATGTTGTAAACAAGACTGTAGGGTCTTGTGTTGATATGTTGGCAGAGCCTCACGTGGCGTACGTCATCATGATCATGCACCCCCCCCCCCAGAGATTCGCCAAGAGATGGCGCAGTTTCAGATGACTGCTCAGTCAGTTGTCCCGGTGTTCGGGGGCTGTGGGCAGGGGTCCGGGGAAACGTTATCCGCCACTCTAAGCACCACAAGGTCTGTGTTTATATAGATTAATCAGATTAGTTAATTTAGCTTCATTAAGAACAGTTTTATGGTTAATCTGATCCGCAGGAGCCGTGGTGAGGGTTCGAAGCTATGTGCTGGGGTTCCCAGGCACACTCTACTCGACTGCATCACGACAGAGGAAGCCTGAGGACCCTTGTAGGTGCTGTAGTACCCCAGGTTGTAATTCTTTTGACTATATCGCGGTGCACTCGACTAGAGCGCGTCTGAGGAACACCCAACACATAGATTCGAGCCCTCATCACGGCTCCTATAGATATGTTCATCGATATTTCACGTTAATGTGATTTCTCTGTGTATTATTATTATTTGCAGCTGTTCATTTTGCACTGATTTCTTGTTGTAATGTCTAAATTTCTTGTTGAAATCCATAGCAGGGGCTGGTTAAGCTGTGACGACACAACTACAATACTTCTCCAAGCGAGGGAAACATGGCTGACAGAGAGGAGACGAGAGAGACGGAGAGAACGCGCTTGGAAGGAGAAGCGAGGGTAAAGGAGGAATTCGAGGTTATAAATAAAGATGGATCCGGTAACATCGTAAAAGACGGCTATGTTGGTAATGGTGCTGAAGAAGGGGACTTCGAGGAGCTGGCGGATGTAGATAGCTTCGAGGAGCTGCTCGAGGTGGTGGGGACGAACGGCCGCTGGAACCTGCTCCTCTTCGTACTGTGTTCTTATTGTGAGTACTTCCACTTAGAGGGAAGGGCCTTCTGTAAGTGCTGCTTTGTCTAGCTTCAGAGGTACGCAAGTGGCTTTCTTCATACTGTATTTATATAACACTTTGACATGCACGGCGATATGGACTTTAGGGACCCCCCTCATGCGCCCGGCGTTTTCGGGTGACCGAGCGGCAACACTGAAAAGTGCATACTCTTTTCGCTGTCCTGACCTTAATTTTCGATGTACTGATTTCATTTTCGTACCAAAGTGTTCGCAATAGAATGATCTATAAGAACATATGTATATGTCACCAAAGCATGAGTTAAATCACACAAAAAGCTAAAGAACTACACGAACTACATCGATCACTAGCCGTGAGCTCCAAACAGCTACGAAATGTTTCCATTCTTTTCAGGGTTGTCAACTCCACACTTGTCCTACAGCGTTAAATTTTGTATCACTGTGATTGGAATTAAATTCTCTACAAGGACATATGCATATAAATGTAGAATCATGATCGCGGCCCACACCAAGAGTGTGTGAGGTGGGCGATTACCCCTCGCCGTGTCAATAATACAATAGTCTTTCCACTAAGTTACAATACAATGCCGTTCTCCCAAATAGGCCATGTGCCTATTAGAGAAAACGGAAATTTAATGGCAAACATTTTCATACTAACCCCAAGTTGATCGAATAAGAATTGAATTTTATACAAATATTTTATTAATCGCGCGTAAATTTACGACGCTCTGGCGCCAACATGACAAAATACCCCTATTTACGCGTCGTTTATTTACGACCCAGGAGCGGGAAAGTGTTTTTAATTAACATACTTTGGTCATGTTGACCAAACCACACACTAGAAGTGGTGTTCAGTCACGTTATTGTGACTCATCATCTCCATACCTTGGTCATGTCTTATATTCTACAAACTTGGATGACATGAGGCCCCTATTATCCGTTATTCGTCACGTTTTCCGTGTGAATCTTCGCCAGGTACTGCTGCCATTACTTCCATTACTCTTTGTCTATTCTTATTCTTCTTTTCGTTCCTATTAAAATTTCGTTTTCTCTGAGCTTATCTTCAGGCACTATTTACCCTTAATTTTTTCTCCTTTAATTTTGCTCAAGCAACTATATGGCACAAAAGTCATTACATACCAGACCCAGGCTCCTAGAGTGGAGATAGACTGGCAGATCTCCCTCTGAATTAATATTTCATTGTCAGTGGAGTGTGGTAGTGTTCCCGCCCCACCAGGGAGAACAAGGAACAGCTCAGTACCTGCCACATGGTCAGCTCAGTACCTGCCACATGGACAGCACAGTACCTGCCACATGGTCAGCTCAGTACCTGCCACATGGTCAGCTCAGTACCTGTCCCATGGTCAGCTCAGTACCTGCCACATGGACAGCTCAGTACCTGCCACATGGTCAGCTCAGTACCTGCCACATGGTCAGCTCAGTACCTGCCACATGGTCAGCTCAGTACCTGCCACATGGACAGCACAGTACCTGCCACATGGTCAGCTCAGTACCTGCCACATGGTCAGCTCAGTACCTGCCACATGGACAGCTCAGTACCTGCCACATGGGCAGCTCAGTACCTGCCACATGGGCAGCTCAGTACCTGCCACATGGACAGCTCAGTACCTGCCACATGGACAGCTCAGTACCTGCCACATGGTCAGCTCAGTACCTGCCACATGGTCAGCTCAGTACCTGCCACATGGACAGCTCAGTACCTGCCACATGGTCAGCTCAGTACCTGCCACATGGTCAGCTCAGTACCTGCCACATGGTCAGCTCAGTACCTGCCACATGGTCAGCTCAGTACCTGCCCCATGAACAGCACAGTAACTTTTGAAAGAAAGTTTCGCAAAAAGTGTTATTGGTTTTAGGCCCTTTTCTCCTGTTTCAGGATAACATATAAATAGTTACACCGGCAGCTTCACTTTGTTTTAAACAGTGTAGTGCAGTGGGCAGCGTAGTCGGTTCACAGCTAAAAAGGTCCCGGGTTCGAATCCCACTCAGGACAGAAAACGTTTTGGGCACGTTCCCTTTCACCTGTTGCCTCTTTTCACCTAATATTAAATTAATACCAGGGAGTCACTTAACTGTTGTAGGTTGCATCCTGGTGAAGGTCTGCCATTGGCCCAGGGAAGACATCCATAAACCTAACTGATTGGGCTCGAGGTTAGTGTAGAATATAATATATCAAGTTTGGTTGGGTATGTTTACAAAGTTCAAGTTCGTTTATTGAGACAAGAAAGAAATACATCTCAAAGGGATAGAGTAGCTTAGGATATTTCTACCCCCCTATGATGACCGGACTACACAATAGAATGTGAAGGGACGACGACGTTTTGGTCCGTCCTGGACCATTCTTAAGTCATTACCCCCTATGTTTACAAAGCCTAGTGATGACGTATGAGGGCGCATGCTTTTCTCAGGTTTTAGACTCTTCTCTCTCCTCTTGCTGTGTGTCTGCAGCCGGGTTCATCACGGGGTTCCCGGTGTTCTCCAGCGTGTTCCTGGGGGCTACTCCCGACCACTGGTGCCACGTAGGGCCGCTGGTGCAGGCCAACTGGAGCCACCAGCAGATCCTGGCCTTCGCCATACCCTACAGGTTAGTCAAATATTTCCGCCTTCTCTTAAGTATAGGGGATCATTGTACGTTGTGTTTTGAAGGGCGTTTGTGGATCAATATTTAGGAAGAGGTCTGTGAATTTTGACATGAAGGATTACCGCATTAGAAAAATAAGAAGCTCTTCACGTGTATGCTTTTCCCTGCGGGTGTGAGGATGCTGTGATCAAACATGGCTCATCTTGGGGATGGCATAAAGCTGCAATGTTTTTTTTATCATTTCTGAGAAAGGATGTGGAAGAACGGCTTGGCGGTTTGGAGGAGATGGGAACAGGAAACAAATGGTTAAGAATCACAGTAAGGGGGAACAAGCGTGAGAGTAGTTACCAACTGGTTGTACTACATAATCACTTCATCATTTTACACATATCTTTGAGAATTATACTATTAAAGTAACCTTTAACATTTACCATATCAGCGCACCTTTGCTACAAATTCACCCAACTATAACAGCTGTTATGATTCACATTCTCAACATGTGAATCGTTGTTTGGGGCAACGATTCACATGCTGAGAATGTGAATCATAACACCTGTGTCCTATGCCACACCTGTCTTATGCCACACCTGTCTCTTATGCTCAGCAACGAGACAGGGAAGCATGAGAGCTGCCGGATGTACGACATGGACTACAGTACGGTGGCTGAGCTTGGGTACGAGGGCGCTGTGGGCGTCGGGCGACCAGCAGACGCCCTGACCAAGCCTTGCTCCAGCAGGGACTTTAACCTCACTCAGTACCAGTTAACAGTCACCACGCAGGTGAGCTCCACGTTCACCCTCCAGGTAATCTCCGTACAGTGTTTTATATGTGGAGGATTTGACGAATATCTTTGAGTTCCTACATTCATATTAGATCATGAAAGGTCTTCAGTGTTATAATACGTCAGTACACCGTAAGGTGTAGCCTAATTATTGGTGTGTATAAACTGAGAGTTTACTTTAGGACTTGCTTATGTCCAGGGCTAAAGTGTACTTGTTTAGTCATTAAGCTATTGTTGTGATCTTAATGAAGTTGATTGGCCTTAAGCCTAGCAAACCAAAGCTAGGAAACTACTGAAGATTCATTGGCTGAGAGGCAGCTTCCCTCTATATAATACCAAACTCCTTTATATGTACAGTATGGCTAACCCCATAACATAACCCCTGTAACAAGTTACGAGATAACATAACAGTATGTTATCTGGTAACTTGTTCATAAATCAAGATTTCTTATTTTCAAAACAATAATTTCCAAAGTATTTTCTTAATCTAACTTGTCCAATTCATGTACATTCATTCGTGTTCTATTTAGTATTGATTTAGTTAACACCATTTGTGCGTCTCAGTCGCAGCTCTGCTCACTCCTCGCCTTGTTGGAGAACGTAAATTAAACTTTCTATATCGCTCTTTATTTCTAATTCCTGAAAAAATTAATATTTCTAATTCCTTAAGTTACCCCTGACATCCATGCTCTGTAAACGACCAGTGTTGTTGTTTTAGATTCAGCTACTGGAAACAAAAAAGTTACAAGTTGGCTATATAATATGGCGCACTTAAGAGGAATCGAACCACTGTTCTGAGTCTCCCCAGCCACGAACCTTAGCCCACTGGAACACGATGCGCAATGAGTAATTTAACCTGGGATTCAACTGAATCCACTATGGGCTCTCAGGCATTGAGCCGATACCAGAACAAATTTTTACAAATTACCCACACACTCTGGTGTGGGGTTAAGAGTTCTACCCCTCAAATGGTCCCTTCAAATACATGCTAGGAAATGCAGTAGAATCTCGGGTTAAAATACTGATAGCGTATCATGGTCCTGTGGGTTAAGGTGTGCGTCTGGGGAGACCCAAAACGCAGGTTCGAATCCCCTGTAGTGCACTAATTATTTTCGCATAATATCACGCCAAATTGTGATATTTTAGTGAGTGTATAGCATGTTACTGTCTACTCTTTTAAATAAAGGATATAATTCTCATTCTCTCTCTCTCTCTCTCTCTCTCTCTCTCTCTCTCTCTCTCTCTCTCTCTCTCTCTCTCTCTCTCTCTCTCTCTCTCTCTCTCTCTCTCTCTGTGCCTTGCGGCTATGTGCCAGTGGGACTTGGTGTGTGAGCGGAGGGCCATCTACTCTACTACTCAAGCAGCGGTACAAGGGGGAATGCTGCTTGGCAACCTCATTTACGGCTATCTCCTTGACAGGTAAGTCATTTCCTTGACAGGTAAGTCTTTCCTTGACAAGTAAGTCGTTACCTTGACAGGTAAGTCGTTTCCTTTGCCAAGTAAGTCATCTCCATGTCAGCTAACTCATCTCATCGACAGCTAAGTCATCTCGAAAGATAAGTCATCTCATAGAGAGGTAAGTTAACTTCTCCACGAGTAATGTATTCCCAATACAGGTAAATTATCTCATCAACAGGTAAGTTTTCTCGACAGGTAAGAAATCTTGAAAGGTAGGTTATTTCCTTGGCAGGTAAGTTATCTCACCAGAGAAATCATTTCCTTTACAAGTATATTATCTCCAAGGCTCTGACCCGCCTACCTTACTGTACAGGGTTCACATTCCCTAGACCAGCGTAGTTTAATCTTTTCCTACCTCAGCATCCTTGTAGTAATAATGTCTCCGCTCCTAGCACCCCTGTGACCAATTATATGCTTTCGAAAGGCACTCCTGAGTCGTATAATTCTACAGGCAATCGAATCCGGAGCCCTAGGCTTTTAATACCACTTACCGTAATCCGGTAATCCTAGGCTTCTAACACCACCCTCCATTAAAATAATTATTCACAATAACAATGTATGCGATCTACTCAGGAAGATATTAATAAAAAATGTATAACAGTATTGAATATTTGAATATTTTGAATTGAAAATTCACAATTCGCCACGTGTTTAAACTGCAGAGCCTAGCTATAAAATGCGTAACTGTGTGTGTGTGTTCTTGGCAGGTTTGGTCGGCGGCCCGTGGTGCTGTGGTCGGGAGCACTCTACGTCATGGCGGGATTCATTGCCGCCGTAGCCCCCAATGTTGAGGTCTATATATTTCTCGTGGTAGTCCTCTCCTGCATGGCCGCCGGAGCCTACCTGGGATGCTTCGTCCTTCGTAAGCTGCCCCTTACGTTTGGTTATGTATATGAACTAATCTATAAGTTCTCAGTTGTTATTGCTTTGTAAGAACTTTTCCCTGTCAGGTCTCTTGAAATTGAATGTTGCTTCAACAACCATTAGGTATTTATGTCAGGAGTTTGCTAATCTCTTGCGCACAGTACAATCCTTATATTCGTGTTCATCTGTACTTCCAGTTTTGACCTCTGTCTCACATGATATTTCCCTTTATCTTTGTTTACGTTATCATTTCCTCTCTTTATCTTATATGTTTTGATCACATGTCCTTTGGTTAATTTATTCAGCAGTGTTAATGGTCTGGGATTTTGTAGCCTATCCTCTAAGATTGGGTTCTGTTTGTCTTGTGTTTCTTGACGAATCTCTGGAAATTCTCAATATTCATTTTGTTTTTTTAATGCGTTGGTTGCCGGTGATATATATTCGTGAATTAGTTTTTCATAGTCTGTGCAGAATGTTCTGGTGGATTCCTTGTTTAGATTACTAAAGTTTGTTCTTACTTCCGCTAATTTTACTAACCATGTTGATGTTATCCGATTTATGCTTGCTTCTCTCTCTCTCTCTCTCTCTCTCTCTCTCTCTCTCTCTCTCTCTCTCTCTCTCTCTCTCTCTCTCTCTCTCTCTCTCTCTCTCTCTCTCTCTCTCTCTCTCTCGCGCGCGTTGTCCTATATTGTTGCCCTACGCTGTTGCTCATCATTCATATAGTGTTGTCCTACACCGTTGCACATCAAGATAACATCAAGATAACATCATGCACATATTGTTATCCTTCACTGTCGCTCGTAACGAACGTACTGCCCTACGTTGTTGCACATCGGGCACATGCTGTTCCCTTGTATATTTTGTGTGAGACCTGACCTGAATCCAATTACGGACTTTGTTACCTCCGACGACGGACACAGTGATGGAGACGTGCGCCATCAGGGAGCGCTCCAAGATCGGGACACTCTTCGTGGTACCTTGGGCGCTGGGCTACATGCTGGTACCTGGTATTGCTTACCTGGTCAGGACTTGGAAGTGGCTCCAGGCTGCTATCACCCTCCCTGGGCTTCTCTTTGCGTTTCATTACTGGTAAGATCTCAACTTCCTTCTCTGAACTGCCTGAGCCCCCTTACATCCACATCTGTAAAGTGGAATATTTGTTTGTCTGTCCAAAGGGGGAGGGCAGACGCTTTCACATATGAAAATTGGAGGGTATTTGAGTATTATAGTCTGATCAAAGTTGGCCCAAGTGCCATGCTTTAAGAAATGTCAGGATCTTAACTCTCCTTTTCGTCCTTCTCCCCCATTTTTGCAATATTCATGAAGTCTGAAATAAGATCAGGATCTTTCGTACAGTTGTGACGCTAGCTTTCCCTACTTACCCGGGCTAACTGGGGAGAGGGGAACGGGGCGGGGCAATGAGATGAGTGAAGGAGAAAGGGGATGTTGGGAAAGAGGGGGAGAGGTTGAAAAGGGTGGGTAAGAGGAGGAAAAGGAGTGATGGGGAACAGAGGGGGGAGTGGGGGAGAGAGACCCTGACACAGCCAAGTACCTCATCTAGCCTACATCTATAAAAGAGAAATTCTGTGGAGGCCAAGCGGAGCACACAGCACCGCTCCTGTGCCAGGTAAGTCCACTACGGGCTCACCATAGCCCGTGCTACTTGCCCCGCTCCTGTGCCAGGTAAGTCCACTACGGGCTCACCATAGCCCGTGCTACTTGCCCCGCTCCTGTGCCAGGTAAGTCCACTACGGGCTCACCATAGCCCGTGCTACTTGCCCCGCTCCTGTGCCAGGTAAGTCCACTACGGGCTCACCATAGCCCGTGCTACTTGCCCCGCTCCTGTGCCAGGTAAGTCCACTACGGGCTCACCATAGCCCGTGCTACTTGCCCCGCTCCTGTGCCAGGTAAGTCCACTACGGGCTCACCATAGCCCGTGCTACTTGCAACTTGTTCCGAGTAGCTGAATCTATAACAGCAACAAAGAAAGCCACGTGCTTTGGAGAGATTAAGAGGGCGCTTGGGAAGAGACCCCATGTGCAGCCGTGTACCCCATTGTTTTCTGCTTCCCTAATTCTCTGTCTGCCCGCCTGCCTGCATGTCTGCCCGCCTAACTGCAAGCCTGATACGTATGCCTACCTGGATGCATGCTGGCCTGCATTAATGCCTGCCTTTCTGCCTGTTTGCTTCCTGCATTCGTTCCTGTCTGTCTACCTGCCTGTTTGCTTCCTGCAAACCTGTCTGTTTCCTTCAAGCCTTGCTGCCTTCTTCCGTGCCTGCCTGCTAACCTGCCTACTCGCTTGCTTATTTCTCTACCAGCATCTGTGCATAACTAAATATCTACCTTTCTGCATAACTGCCTACTTGTTATAGCTCCTTTTGCTTGCCTGCCTGCTTGCCTAAATTACTGTCTGCTTGCTTGCCTGTTAGCTTCATTGCAAACTTCTCTGTCACCCTGCATGTCTGCCTGGTTGACTTCCTCCATGCTATTAGACAATGGTTTCCATGACGTTAAGTCCAATTTAAAAAGTACCATTGGGTCTCAAACTTTCCCTTTCTCAAGCTCACACAATTATGTTCATGCCATGTCAAACTGAACGTTGCCACAACTTGCCAAAATTTTAGAGGAACGTTGCCGGTACCTAAAATTGTTTGCTGGGAGGTCACCGCTTCCTTTATCATCGATTTATTTGCCATTCATGTTTCGTCAAGAGAGGTTTAAGCAGTACTCCTTCGCCAGGTTACTGCCGGAGTCTCCTCGTTGGCTCATTCTTCATAACCAACACCAGAGAGCGCTCGAAGTCCTTCGCGGGGCCGCTAAGATCAACCGCAAAAAGCTGCCCCCTGACCACCACATCCTGGCCGCCATGCATAACATAATGGCAATGGTATGTGCACTATCCTGCCCTCTGGTGTCTTGTTCAGTGTCTCGTCCAGTGTCTTGTCCGGTGTCTCGTCTGGTATCTCGTCTGGTGTTTTGGGGGGGTTCGTAAAATTTTTGGTTCGTAATTTCATGATTCATAAAAATGAGAATTCGAAGCCCGTCCTCCAAGCATAGACCCAAAAGTGATTCCCACCCGTCAAACCTCCTGTTTATGAATGAAAAAAGTTTACACACGACTCGCAACTAATTTCGTTCGAACACTTCCGGAACAAGTGCTTCCCTGACGAATTTTGTTCGAACCACAATGCTATAAATGCTTCACCCACGTACTACAAACACAAATAATCGCCAACAGAACCTAAACGCCTAACCTAACCTATGCCTATATATGCACAATACGCTAATATATTATAATATTAATTTATATTTGAGAAAATTCCTGTTTTGAATGAACAGCATGTAAAAATTTATGAATGCGTCTGTGGGGTCGACCGCTGGATGTAATGGACTTGAGTCGAGGACGGGTTGGATAGACAGGTATAAAAGCTTGTTACCAGAGAGGGAGGGGTCACCAGGCTAACCATAGCCTGTGCTTCTTGCTCCGCTCCTGTGCCAGGTAAGATACGGGCTCACCATAGCCCGTGCTACTTGGAACTTGTTCCGAGTAGCTGTATCTATAACAACAACAACAACAACGAGGGAGGGGTGAGTTGTGTGTTGTATCTTGGTCCAGACAGGAGTCTTGGGGTAGACACTACAGGGGGAGGGAGATTGACGATCTGGTGTATACAAGCTTCATCTCTGCTGTATCTTGAGTGAGTGCTGGACCCTTATGTTCTGACATTACAAGTGTTTATCATTAAATTTGTCTTGATAGGGAAGATAGAGTAGGATTTTTATATTGAACGTAATTAAATATATATTACTAAATTGTTCTTCCGGTGTGTTCATTTGTACATGTTCATTCATAGTTGCCAGTGAATAGTGGAAAGTGACTGTGTTCTCACCCCTCCCCACCCCCCTCCCCTCCCTGTGATATCCTTAACTGGTTCCTTTACTCTCTCGTGAGCCGTACCCTTCTTTGCCGGTCACTGTAAAGTACATATATTCAGCCTAAACATATGTACGCTACATATGTGGTGGCGGCATTAATTAGTTTTAAGTAACTTTTTAAGTTTTGGTCGTAATTAGTAACAACCTGCTTGGAGGTATCTGTGGTGATACACTTGAGATACGTTATAGCCACTGGCTTTTTTTCCCCTTGCAAAATTGTCTGTAAAATTGTGTATGTTACATAGTCTTGGAGTGGCAGAGATATTATGCCAGTCATACATATTGGCAACTTGTGTGTACAAACAGAAAGATGTACTGTAGACTTAATGTTTAACAGATTCAAAGGGCATAGATTCAGAACATGAAGATTTTAAAGCTACTTAATTCTTAGTTTAAAAATTTCTATAATTTTAATTTCAGATTGTGTAAATTCAGAATTGTGCTAATTTAACACTCGCGATCACTGCGTTCTGAAAAAAAAACTTACCGTATGCGCTTTCGGCGTTTCGCGCCCCTACGCGGCAAGACCGAAAAAGTGTACACTCTCTTTTGACTGTCCTGACAATAATTGAAGGCGCACGTATTTAAATTTGGTATCGCTGTGTTCGCAATAAAATTGTCTATAAGAACATGCCTATAAAATGCCGCCAAAGCATAAGGACTATCAACACCAAATAAAAAAAACTATTCAGATCACTCGCAGAGAGCGCCAAAGAGCAACAAAATGTTTCCACTCTTAATGGTTGCGAAGCCTACAGCTAATTGTGGTATCATTGGAATCGCAATAAAATTCTCTACACGGACATATGCATATAAATATAAATTCAATGTCGTAGCCCACCCAAAACAGTGTGGGAAGTGGCCGAAGTGTTACCCGCTGCGGCATATCGGCGAAACTCGCTTTGAAAAGTGTATATTCAATTCATTGTCCTGACATTATTTTTCGATGTATGTATTTCATTTTTGCTCCAATGTGTTCGCAATAGAATGTTCTATAAGAACATGAGTATTAAAGGTCACATAAGGATGCGTTCGACCGGCAACATATATATAAACTACGTCGATTATACTCGTAGTGTCAATAATACAATTGTTTTACCACGATGATTCACTGCCACGCCGTTCTCTTTAATAAGCTGTTCGACTATTAGAAAAAACGTAAATTTCATGGCAAACATTTGTAAACTATTCCCAAGTTGATCGGATAATAAATGGAATTTATACAAATATTTTTTCGCCGGACTACACGCGTAGTCTGTTATGCGGAAACGTAAGAAAATTTGGTGACGACCCTAGAAATCATCAAATGCGCGAAGTTGGTAAATTCAGGGTCCGTATATTTTTTTCTTTTTCAGAATGGTAAGTTGGAAGACTGGCAGGAGAAGCAGCCGACGTTGCTGGAGCGAGCGGTGAGGGTGCTGAATAGCCTAACATCGCTCCTGCGGCTGAAGTCCCTCCGTCAGAGAACCCTCATAATCTTCTTTTGTTGGTTCACCGCCGCTATGGTTTACTACGGCATCTCCCTTAACGCCCCCACCCACAGGTGCGCCACCTTACCAACGCCCCATACCTCCTGCTGGTGTGAGAACCGGGTGTTGAGACAGTCAAGTAATGAATCTCAAAGGGATAGCGTAGCTTTGGCTATTTCTACCCGACCCCCCTTTCCTTCTAATAAAGTTAATGTGCGCGTTACCTTAATGAGTGTGGGGGAGAATACGCACAAGATAACATGACTGGAGAAAAGGGCTTCGTAGGGGGAGGGTTTAATACGTAAGCTGAGGCACTGTGAGCAGTGGATTGAATTACTAAAGGGTGGTGGGAGCGAAATGGGTTGTGGTGTAAGTAGGTGTGAAGGGGAAAAAGTTGTTACTGAGTGAGATACAAGGGATTGAGAATTGTTTGTAGAGCAGAAAACTGCGGGGAATAGTCAGCGTATGTGATGGGTGTTAGTGGTTTTGCCAGAATGTGCAAATTATTCACCAAAACGTGTAAACTCCACTCATTATACTATCATGCATATAAATAAATGATAAAGTAAATACAGTAATTAAGTTTACTTCGATTTTTCGTTAAATTTATTCATTTAAAATGGTGTCGAACAGTCTTCAAAGTTTGGGCCTTCCTTTGATTACTAACTTATCTTAAATAACTAGTTATTGAATACATTTTTTTCTATCCAGACTATTGGTTATGTTATCAATTAATGATCACTTGAATCCCATCTTATCCCCTATCAGCATATGCTAACCTGTACCATCTCCTCAGTACGGACACCTACATGTACATCTTCCTGGGGGGAGTGTTGGAGGTACCCTCCTACCTCCTGCTGTGGCCTACCATCGTCTTCCTGGGCAGGATCAAGCCCCTCACCTTCCTCTACTTGTTTAGCGCCATCGTCATTCTACTCATGTCCATGTTCATTATCTTCATCCCTCAGAGTAAGCAATGCATTCTTGGTATGCACTTAGGGTAGGTATTGACCCCTTGATGTGACGTCTAGGGGTCACTTTATTGTTTATATGTTGCTTTGGGTATGAATGGCAGTCTCCCTATCTTTGTGTATAACAGAGGATGTCAGTCAATTTTTGTCCAGCGTTACAGGTCAGACGCTATGGGCTAGCCGCGCCAAACTTTTCAAGAGTGACTGATAGGTATCTTGAGGGGGGGGGGGGTTCTACCTCTATGCCCCCAGTGAAGGAGAATGGACCCAGTGAAGTTGGTAAAGATGAACTGTTCGTAGCAGAGTCCACAGACTTCTATAATTTACTTATATTATTCAGAGACTTAGACGGGTAAAGCCATCGTGGTCAGCAGGGGCATCGCTCCATTCAAAAAAATTGATTTCAATCAGATTTTTTTACGTTATGTACTTTATAAGTCTTGCAGTAATATATTATTTTTCGTGAGTTTAATTTATAATTGTTAAAGTTTGTTGTGGATGAATCTTAGAATTCTAAGGATTCTTTAACAGTTATTTCCATTCACACTAATATTGTTAACTCGATATTTGTTAATGTAGAGTCCAGTTACTCTTGTAATGCTACAGTTGAGTCAACACCAGAGCCACTGATACAGTTCATATCTGACTTGTACAGCTAGAGAGAGTGCGTCCGATCTCGCCCACACACAATGTAAACAAACCAGAACATGGGTAACGTCAGTGCCAGTCAGTTGTTACCCCCCATCGACCGAAGGGTTGTGAGATAGGGTGAAAGTGTTATGTTGCAAGTAATGTGTCACCGGTCAGTGACCCTGCCCAACCACTTGGGCTGGACGGTAGAGCGACGGTCTCGCTTCGTGCAGATCGGCTCTCAATCCCCGACCGTCCACAAGTGGTTGGGCACCATTCCCTTCCTCTCTGTCCCATCCCAAATCCTTATCCTGACCCTTTTTAAAGTCGTAATGGCTTGGCGCTTTCCCCCTAATCCTTTCCTGCTATCAGTTACCGAGTGCTTCCTCTGCAGCACCGCTGGGAGTGATGCTGCTGGTGTCTTTGAGCGGCAAGATGGCCATCACTGCGGCGTTCCACTTGATATGGGTGGTGACCGCTGAGCTCTTCCCCACACAGTACCGCTCCCTCGCCGTCGGCCACGCTAGCGTCGTCGCCAGGATCGGCAGTATCCTCTCCCCGTATATCAACGACATCCTGGTAACGCCTGTTGTTAAAGACTTGGTTGATCACCAACGGTGTAGCCTCATCTTGGTAGCCTCATCTTGGTAGCCTCATCCTGGTAGCCTCATCCTGGTAGACTATTGTATTAGATTGGATATCGTCTAATAGATATACTGAAGTTTTCTGGTAATTTATTAGGGATACATTTTGCGGCTTCATTGTTGATAATGTAGCCATGTGTTGTATTATAGTAAAATATTTTAGGATTTTATAGCTAAATGATAATCTGGTAGATTATTTTGTACGTTTAACAGCGCTTACTTTATGGTTTTGTAGTATTAGCATACCATTTAACCAATTGCTACATTGTCGTAGTGTGGCATTTTTATCACTGTGGTGTCTTAAGGTTTAATTACATTGGTTTTATTTGGGTATCGTAGATATATCAAAGATATATTAAGGTATATCGTTGCCTTTTGTCTAAATGATGTTCTGGAGAAACACATCGCTCTGTATGGCTGAGTAACAATGGATACTTTTACATCAATAACAGTGTTGTGGAACCTTGTAGACACTGTGACATTTCATAGGGTAACCAACGACTTACTGGCTTCAATAGTTTGAATGAGAATGACAGTGAATATAAGTAATTGAGAGAATGAATGAGACTGGCAGATTGAGAAACGCTGGGAATGAGAGAGAGTGAGTGAAGGCCAGCAGGAACACCTTGAAATCATTATTAATCCCTGTGGGGGACACTTTGCAGGGAATGTTGGTAGTGTGGGCGCCCGCCATGGTCTTCGGGTTGATGTCCCTGGTCGCCGGCGGCCTCTGCCTACTGCTGCCGGAGAGTAAGGGACGCCACCTGCCGGAGGGCGACCACTTGGAGCATTCACTACCTGGAGATAAAGAAGAGGCTCCCACGGGATCGTTTTCTGAAATAAAAACAGCATAATTGAACAGCTAACGCTGCCTGTCTCCCCGGGAGACAGAACAATATCCAAAATTCGAATATCATGGTTGATTTGTTTCTGAGAGGGACGGACAGGGGTAACTGCTTCTGAAAACTGCTTTGTTACCTGTGGTCAAAGTGCCAGGATGCGCACCACACCTGGAGCATGTACCTTACTCACCAACAGTACATCTCGTCGAAGCAAATAATTATGTTATAAAGATCGGTCGTCCTCGATGAGTTTTACTTTTACCTGCCCCTGGTAGATTGGTAACATGTGCGCGTTGTTCATCTCGAATCTCTGTTCGAGACTCTCACAAAACAACTTGATGAAGTTTCAGCCCGTCCTCCAAACAAAGATCCAAAAGTGATTCCATGCACCCGCCAATCCCCTTGTTTATGAATGAAAAACGATTTACACACGACTCGCAACTCATTTCGTTCGAACACTTCCGGAACAAGTGCTTCACTGACGAATTTTGTTCGAACCACAACGCTATAAATGCTTCATCCACGTACTACAAATACAAATAATCGCCAACAGAACCCAACAACCTAACCTAACCTATGCCTATATATGCACAATATGCTAATATATCATAATATTAATTTATATTTGAGAAAATTCCTGTTTTGAATGAACAGCATGTTAAAATTTATGAATGCGTCTGTGGGGTCGACCGCTGGTTGTAATGGACTTGAGTCGAGGACGGGTTGTGAAGTTTATAGATATCGCTTTACCTTCATAAAGTATTTCTTCCAAAACAATGACAATCTGGATAAAAGAAAAATAAAGTTTATGGGGGGGGGGTTCAAAGAGCTGTTAATAGAATGAGTGCTCTTGTCAGTAGTAACGTGTACTTTTGTCAGGGTCGTGTCTGTGAAAGTAATTTAAAAAATATACAGTAATAAGGCAGAAGAGAAAAGGTTTCTACAAAAACATCTAGAGTTTCTCTATTAGCTCTAGTAGTGTGAGAATAAAGACGGAAGACCTCAGCATTGAAGTGTACTGAAAAGTTAGATATAATAGCATTCACTGAAACATGGTTGAGTATCGACTCTGAGCCTACTGTACTGGGAAAATACCATATCCAGGGATATACGGTATGAAAGGTGTGGCTGTTCTCTGTGAAAGAGGCTCAAATTTGCAGCAAAAGAGATCAGATCAATGACACAGGAGCAATGTAGGTTGAAGTGAATGAGAGGAAGCAAAAGTACATGGCATTAAGATAATGTGTATGTGCAACAATACACACATGTACATAAATATTTATTGATTTAGATACATAAAAGAAGGTACATTGGGGGTCAAGAGAGAAAAGTTTAAGTTGAAATTACAGTCTTGTAAAGCCACTAGCACGCATAGCGTTTCGGGCATATACATCCATGTACACAAGTACATATACATATCAATAATCTTTTTATATCGCAAGTAATTCAACAAGAGGTTAGCGACGGTCTCGCTTCATGCAGGTCGGTGTTCAATCTCCGACCGTCCAAGTGGTTGGACACCATTCCTTCTCCCTGTCCCATCCCAAATACTTATCCTGACTCCTTCCCAGTGCTACATAGTCGTAACGACTTGGTGCTTTCCCCTGGTAACTCTTCCCTTCACAACTGTTTACAGGGCACTTTACATCTATGGTGAGTCAGTCACTAGTCTTGCTCCACACCCACCCAACTGGGCGGCAGTTTTACAGTCCTGTGCAGGCTGCACCTACAGTAAGCAAATGTTGGATATTTTGCTAAGATTCCTGGCGGTACATCATTATGAATGAGGTACTTGCATATTTATTGGACTCCATTGATGGTGTTAGCTCTGAATTCCGCAATTTTTTTTCACATTTCATTATATAATGACGCAAGGTATGCAAGTGGTTCTGCTGACTGAGTTTACATTTAGTCAAGTCTACATCAACAGATGTTAAAAGCTCCCAGAGGTACTTGTAGCCGAGCCTAAGCCTAGCAGTGATAACATCTAGAAGTCTGCTAACCTCATTGGATGACCCATGGACGAGGGGTTCTTCCTGCATAATAGAATGATGATAGATGGGATAACTGCTGTGAATTTCACTTTGCCTCGAGTCTACAAGATTTTGTTGATGTTCCCGGAATATTACTGCCCCTCAGGCTGCTCAGTCCAAGATGGTAATCAATTCCCTCTTTACGAGTAAAAGTTTTGGCTTGCACATCAGTTCTATCATGCATTCGGAGACCAACATGGGAAGGAATCCACAGGTTCTACATAGAGGTAGAACAGAGCCCGTGTGCATGGGGGAATTTTGTGAAACACTGATTGGGCTACGGAGAAACTTCAGGATCCTGCAATTTTTTTTTTACCATGTTGTGGTACAGTTGACTAATGCACATCTGGGAACATCCCGTTAGTAGGTTCGAACCCTCATCACGGCGCTGGTGGATGGACTCTGGAGTGAGCGGTACTCAAATAAATAAAATACAAATAAACACAAATAAATGGTTACATTTATTAAACAGTTTACAAGCATGAAAACTTCCCAATCACCTGTTGTTATTGTTATAAACAGCCTCCTGGTGCTTCGGAGCTCATTAACTGTTTAATAATTGGAAACAAAGCCGCCAAAAATTGAGAAAAGATGTACAGGTTCGTAAGTGTTTGCGTAAGTGCTTTCGTGAATCTGGCCCTAGGGTATCGGCACGTTGTTGTGTGTACAATATGAATACGCTATATAAACTGAACTTACTGAAGTAACAAAATTCATTCCCCGGCCATATCTTGACCAAAAAAATCCTGCATCACTATATAATAATATAACAATAATAATTTATTGACAAGAAAGCACAATGGTTGGTGAGATTACATTAGAGTGATATTTTTACATTCTTGAAATCCACTAACACGCATTTTTTTAATTGGCAAAATTAGGTATACACAGCAATGTGCTGCTACCCTATTCAATATGAGAAATTACACAGTGTAGATAAAGAACTGGCTGTAGGTCAATAATAGCTGTAAGTATTATTCCCGTTTCACAGGCTGGTTAGTCATACATGGAATTAGGGGAAGATAATACCTGCCTTAATACAAAAACAAATCAACTCTGACTAAAAATTGTTGAAAACATAAAATGTAAGGTTGATCTATTAGCCCCCACTAGCAAAATCTGGGTACAGCACAAGAATATCTTCGAATATTCCTGAGTGTATGAAGCAATTACAGAGGTCAAAGTACCTCATATCATTAGGTCTAAAGTCACTTATAACAGATGTGTGTATATGTATGTATTAACACGATGTACTGAACGGGGTGAGAATAGCTTGAGCTACCTCATCCCTTTGTGTGTATTTTACCTCAATAAACTTATTTCAATTTCAATTTCAATTTCAATTTCACTTATAACAAGACAATCGCAGATAACACGCATAACGTTTATTATAAAATTGTGTTGTAATAGAGATGATGGTGGGGAATAACAATGTTCCATAACATCAGAGAGATATGCGTAATAAACTCGCCGAACTTTGAGGCAAAAATCTAAATGTTTAAAATATGCATAAGCTGCTATAGTGACCCTGAAATTTCTCGGCAAATGTGTTTCATTTTCTCTAACATCGACACGTTTCCTCTTTTAAAACAAAGTAAATAAAACCAATTTTTGCATTTAAAATTCATATTTTCACATTCAGCATATTTATATAAATAGTGAAAAGCTTTCCAAAAGTAATCATGATCTTTATTTCATACATATATGCGTTAAACTACCCCATTCCTATAATTTCATGATTATTGCATAGAGACCGATCTTGAATGTTAAGATTAATTATTTTTATTTGATATGGAAAAAATTATGGTATTACAATTTGAAATGAATGCAATAGCTAAAGTATGGATTAGCAAATTGTGAAGCATATAATGTAGGGAAGGAGGTCATTGTTGGAACCCGCAGCCGCTACTCCGTCCATTTCTTCACTGGTCAGAGGCAAGATGTACAGGTGTGGCCGCCTCGTTTCAAGAATTTCTCAGCCTACCTCAAGGACTGTCGAGCATGTCAAAGCTCGCGGTATTAACAGATGTGAGTGTTGTGTTAATATTGTATCGGTGGTTTCTGGATTTGGGTCTTAAATTGTTTTAATTCCCTCTAAAGTATGGCGAACAACCGGCATGGGAGGAATAAGTCAGCTGATTTTCGCACACTAGAATGATTTGTTCATAAAATCGTATTTAAAGTAAACATGATTTCACATTCTTCTATGGGAAGAAGGCTGTTAGGTCTGGTTAGAATTTCCCTGGCCAATGATTCCCCGACACCCCCCCCCCCCAAATTGTTAAGTTTCTGTACAACCTACATTGTTGTTATAGATTCAGCTACTCTGAACAAGTTCCAAGTAGCACGGGCTATAGTGAGCCCGTAACTGACCTGGCACAGGAGCGGGGCAAGTAGCAAGGGCTATGGTGAGCCCGTAGTGGACTTACCTGGCACAGGAGCGGTGCCGTCGGCCCGACCTACATTGTAGAAAAACAAGATTACTGCTTCTAAGCCTATAGATCTACAGCGACAATAATTCTCCAGAGCCTTTAGGTAATACAAAATCACTTGCGCCGTGTGAAGCGTAAGTGGCGTACTGCATTCATGCTATCTACGCCTGCAAGGGAGAAACAGTCTCCGTGGTGTAGTGGTAAGACACTCGCCTGGCATTCTGCGAGCGCTTTGTCATGGGTTCGTATCCTGGCCGGGGAGGATTTACTGGGCACAAATCCTTAACTGTAGCCTCTGTTTAACTCAACAGTAAAATGAGTACTTGGTTATAAAAACGATTCTTTGCGGCGGGGATCGTATTCCAGGGACCTGCCTGAAACGCTACGCGTACTAGTGGCTGTTCAAGAATGTAACAACTCTTGTATATATCTATAAAAAAAAAAAAAAAGAAAAAAAAAATAACAGCCTCAAGTCTACCTACCAAGAGAGAGAGAGAGAGAGAACATGTATGCCAACTGTGTCATACTGCATCACTGCACACATGCTGTATTAATCTCACAAGATTACGGGCTCACCATAGCCCGTGCTACATGGACACTTCGTTCTGAGTAGTTAAATCTAAAACATCTCACAAGAGAGCAAGCAAAAGCGAGGAGGAGAATGGGGGCAACCCATTCTCCCCGACCCCAGCAACTCTTGTCAGCGCTGAGGTGGTGAAGAGAAATTTAAATTAATGTGCTTTCATCTGTGGACCTTTCACCTTGTTCCAGCCGTCTACCACTGTTTGCATAAGAGAACTTTCTAATATTTTTTTTCTGTATCTTTGTTTCCTTAGCTTGAATCCGTACATTCGTGTTCTTCAGTTTGCAGTTTTAAAGAACTCCTCTGTCAATTTTGTAGATTCCTGTTACCGTTTTGTACGTTTTTGTTGAAGATTAATCCACAACAAGAGGTGGCACAGCCATGAATTACCCGTATGTGGTAGATTTTTTGAGTGAATGTGAGCTTTGGCCTTGTAACATCTTGAAGTGTCTCTTGGTCTCTCATTGTACGTATTAATCATAATCTTCTGTTTTTATCTTCCAGAAAGTACATATATAGAAGATGAGTTACAAACATGTTGGATTTATAGATAGAGCTAGTACAGGTATATACAATACCTACAGCCACTAATACGCACAGCATTTTGGGCATCTGGGCAAGTTGTCAGCATGTATCACAGTAATTTATGTCGGCTTCTTTGTAGCCAATTTCTTTTATAATTATGCAATGGTAACTAATATCATTATGACCTTTTCAGTACGCTCTGATAGAGGGCATGCAAACCTGCCCAAACAAAAGCAGACAACTATGAATGACTTGCCACAACCACAAGGATCTTGGTCAAAGACAAATGAACGTCGTCAGAGGAAAAATAACTTGCAACTTGCAGTGGGCCTTGGCGTAGCTGGATTTACACTTTTTGTAGTGAGTATGAGTTTTGCATGACATTTTACCTTGAGAATGGTTTAGGTAAGGTAAAGCTGCTGGTCCTTAGCCATTTTTAAATTACTTTTGTTTGTAAGTGAAATAAGACCAGCCTTGAATGTAATGAAATGCCTCGTTCTGGTTGGGCCTTGGTGGCTTTCTATAGCCAGCCACACTGAGATAGCTTCACACACATGATTCATATCAGCCCCAGGAATCCATTACCAGAGCCAGAATTGGCACCCCTAACAGACACACAGGGAGCAAGGGGATTGTTACGATCACTCTGACAATGAGACCTCCAAAAAGTATACAAAGCAAAACACAATCGTTAAGTTAACGGAAAAGAAGTGAAGCAGTAATTGATTCCACACACCATCCAGCCAGTACTGTAATCAGTTTGAACCCCTTAGTTGCAGCTAACATAAATAGGTGGCAGCACCACTGGGAACTCTCCCCATGTCAACACTCCTCTGTTCAGGGCCTAGAGCAACAAACACTTAGTAGTGGAGAGAGACCGGGAAGCCACTGAAGCTCAACTCGAAAGAGGCATTTCATTACATTCAATGCTGGTTTTCTGAAGGTGCCAATGGTGGCTCATTGTAACTAGCTAACTATGCAGAAGGAAGACCAGGATTTTTGAGGAAGGAGAGCGGTGCTTACATCCTTGAAGATGAGATACCAAGATGGGAAACCTGTCACGAAGCACCACATGGGCAGGTGGGGTGGTGGGAGTTGCCGTGAATATATTTATACCAATTTATTTCAGTGTCAGATTTATTTTTCACTGGTTTTTACAGTTATATTATGTAATTTGAGAAATTTGTATAAAATATACACATACATTCACGTCACTAATGCGCACACAATATTATATTCTTTTGATAAAACTTGCTATTATTGCACTGTATACACATTTAGTATATAACTATTGTATCTATACCTCACAATATAATATTAGAACAATAAAACTGACGTATGTACTGTTTTTGCCGTTATGACATTGTATTCACACATTACATACAATATAACTATGGTTATATACCCTTACAACCCACTAAGCAGTTCTGGTGATTGCAATAATATTTTAACCAATAATTTATGGACAGCATAGCCCAACATGCTTGCCAGTTGCAGACAGCGCTTGAGAAAGCAAAGTGTCATCCAATATACTATGCACATCGATAACTCTTGCCAAAACACTCCTATTATCTAAATCCTGAAAATGAATCATTTTATACGTGTTCATTTTCTAAAGGAACATGGATCCCATTGCATGATCCAGAGAGGTGTCAAACCACAGCCGTGTGCTGTGGCCGTCTGCCTTGTTTGTGAAAGGGTGTCGCCAGCATCAGATTCACTTATATCTGAACCTTGTACATAATATTTATCATTGTCTGGGGTCTTCTATGTCACTATCATCAATATATAATTGCATATACAGTACTGTGTTTATTTCATCATTAAGTGATACTGTCTACATGAGCTCTGTGGCAGTGTTGAGAGCTGCTGCTGCTGTAAGTTGGTTGCTGTGTCCATATTGAGGCCCTCACACCTAGGTGGGGTGTGCATGATTTTTTCCAAGATGGTATCTGTTTACTGGAGACCTGAGGAAGTGGATGTGGGCTCTGTGTATCTGCAGGAGTTTTAAATTTTAAGCTAGACCTAAAATCAACCATGGTTGACATGTGCACCCCCGATAAATTAACTCTGGTTGATATGCACTGTTGAAGGGTTTAATGAATACTGCTGTAATTTCATTATTATATGAACTTGTTGCATTCATTAATGTTATGTCATATCTGCCTTGTACTTGTAATTTTATGACAAAGCCTTTCATGTGTGTCATAAATTCTTAGAATTATGCTACATCAGTTAACTGAAGTGCTGATGTTTCAAATATCTGCATTAGGCCTTGGGGTCGAAGTGTCGCCATTCATTCATTCCATCAGGTAACTTAATCATAGCTGTAATCTCATTTTTGTTATAATGTCATAACTACATTGGTATATTTTAAACTATATTGGTATGTTTTAAGTAATTATTAGGATCTTGCATCTTGGAAGGAGTTTTATAGTAATTACTGTGTCCATTAAGCCTGTGCAGTGGCCTTGGGAAAATGCAACAGTATGCATATTTTTATTATTTTTTCAGGCAAAACAAAGTGGGTTGATAACATTTAACATGGGTCCAGGCAAACCAAAGATTACGCTGGAAAGTCTGGCAGAGGTTAGCGAGAAGCAGCAGTCTGCTCCTGTTGAGGAAGCTCCTCTCATTGAGGAACCTCTTGCAGAAGCTGCTGCTGTTAAAGAGTCCTCATCAGAAACTGCTGCTGAATTACCACCTGCTCCAAGTAAAGGTAATGGGAGTTGATTTTTCATATAGCTTCATGTTCAGCCAATCTCGGATTCCACGTTGTGGATCATAGGAATATTTTACGTTGGCTTTATAAATTTGAATGCCTGTGTTTGTTCGAGGATGGATGGCAGGTGCTTGGAGCTAGCCTCGCCTAATTTTGCACCCTGATTTATGTGGGGTATGTGCCCAACATGTTGGGTCAGGGTTGAAACAATTCGCGTGAGAACAGCATGTCGCATACTCATCCCCATGATGATTTTGGCACTGGGTCCTGCTCCTGTCTGGCTAAATAACTATAGAAACCAAATACAAAACATTAAACATTGATCTCGAAAATTAGTAGAAATTTTCTACCCGTACTTTTCTTGTAATTGGCCGAAATGTGTTGGTGAATCAACACCAGCCCATCTTCATCAATACACATCTCAAGTTGTCAGGCTACACCCACTGCACGCTCTTATCTTCCCCAAGCTCTCCTGAGCTGCTCAATGCAGCTTATGTCCATGCGGCCTACAGAGACTGTGTGTATTCACCTAGTTGTGCTTGCTGGGGTTGAGCTCTGCTGTTTCGGCCCGTCTCTGTCAATCAGCGATCATTATTTTTTTTTTAATGTAATATACTGCATATGTATGTATTTAAATGATTCTGTCAATCTGTGTATATCTTTATATTGTCTACAATTACCTTGACTTTCACGTTTCACAATCACGCATACAAATTTTTATCCCACCACTGGTGACACGTGACACAATTATAGGATGCACCGATACTCTTCAGTTCTTATGTTTATATACTTAGTGACTGGAAGGAGACATTTAGCTGCTTGATTTCTTTGACATGAAACAGTTTGGCTTGTTGCTTGTGTATATTTTGTATAGAAAATTATAAATATTATATTGACCTAGTGTGTGTGCTTCCATCAGTTATAATCTTTTACATATCAAATTCCACAGCAGCTGTAGAGTCGGAACAAGTTAAAGAAGCTGATACTGCTGCAGAAAACTTAGAAGTAGTCAAAGAAGTAGTCAAACCTGTTGCTGTGTCTCCACCCGCTAAAGAGATGACTGGTGAGTCTCTTGCTGATTTACCCTTTGGTAAATAGATGGTGGTAGATGCTGTGACCTATAATGTAACGGATGATTCTTTGACAATAGAGGGCTCTGTTGTCAAACCTGTGGCTAGTAAATTATTTAAGGCTGTCAATTGAATCTATAGGTGTCAAATCTGTGAGTTTACATACACGGAACCTGTGGCTATAGATACTGAATCTTCAGCTGCATAACTTGTACCCATTGAAGGGATATAATCTTAAGGGGGGTCAATCATTTCAGAGTTGTTTCCAATAGTTAGTCTTTTTATATTAAAGCCTAGATTATTAGCTACATTTTTGTCTTTATTTAAAAGAAATTGGTCAACTCTAGGTATTTAGATTTTTTAGCCTTAAGGAAATCTTGCAATAATGGCAAGTTGCCAATTAGTATGTATGATCACGTGGCCTGAGGAATCGTCAGTTGCCATGTTTTGAGAATGTCGCAAGGCAGATGTGACCAGCTTTCAAGTCAGTTTTAGTGAGGACCTTGGAGCTGTGGAGAAGTCCTCAGTGGTAGGACTTGAGAGAGGAGATTCCTCAGATATATATATTTTTTCTATGAAACAAAAAAAATTGTCAGATCAGCTAAATAGATGTCATTGGAAAGTACAGTATTCTCAAAGTAATACTGTATATATAACAGAATATTGTTTAGGATTTGTGACCCTGTAGTATAAATTTACTCTGGAGTTATATTTGTGAGCTAGCATCTTTTTTTTTTTTTTTTTTTTTTTTTTAAGAAATGTAAAATATTTGTTGTGGGTTTATTAATAAAAATCTAAACTTTTTAGTAACTGTGAACCATATTTATTTACAGTATATAGTAGAACACACATGCTGTGAACAGCCATTGAAAGTGTAACAAAGTAGAGTACAATCTTTATTCAAGAAACTATATAAGACCTACCTCAATTCATTGCAACCAGGGATGCCTCCATGATGTATTTTCTACGCCCTATGGGCTGATTTCACTTGGCAAAATTTTAATTTCAACCTATAATAAACAACTACCAAATGAACATATCTGCAAAAGAACGTAACTGCATCTAGTTTATTTCTCAAGTTCTCTGCTTCAAAACTTTTTCAAACGCTAACAAGGCCATATCAGAGTGAACAAAAACTTTGCCAATTTGGAATAAAAACAAACCATAGAATTTGGTTTTAAATTTCCTTTCCCCATGGCTCCAACTGTTTCTTGTAATATTGAGTCCATCTTCTACAAAATTCATAAACTGTGATTGGAGCCATATTAATACAGTAGTTAATATTCATACCCAGATATTTTTTTATGCTCTAAGGGCTGATTTCACCGAGCAAAATTTTAATTTCAGTGTCATATGAGGGCCGAGTACAAGACAACCTGTCTAAAGATATTTAACTATATCTAGCATTTTTCCAATACCCTGGTCTTGAAACCTTACTTTCAAAGGAAAAAGGACCCGTATTAGTAAACAAAAGCCAGGGAATCTCAAAATTAAAATGAATCATAGAATTTGGTTTTATATGGGCTCAGTGCCTTTCCCAAGGCCCCATATTATTTTCAGTAATGTTGCATGCATCTACAAAATTTTTTTTTAAATGTGATTGGAGCCATATTAAGAGTTAATATTCGCCCAACAAAATCATTTCTAAAATGCCTAACAATAAATATCCCAATGCCTAACTGGACACTTGCTGAATCGAAGTTCCATTGTACTGTTTGATCCATTTTTCTCTCCCCCCACATTCCTTTCTCTTCCCAATCTTAAATACCTCTTTGAATTAATACAAGAGCCTGTACTCCCTGTAGGTGATTTTAACTGTCGGCATGCCCTCTGGGACAATGGTCCGACAAATTTGAAGCCATCTTCTAGAACCACTCATTTGCTCTACTTCATTCTTCTGAATTCCGGCGAGCAATCTCATGTTGACTTGCACACTTGCACTTTTTCCTATATTGACCTTTCTCTTTGATCCTCCATTTATATAGCCCTGACATGGAAGGTCCTCGCCAACCTCCATAACGAGGACCATTTCTCCATTCTCGTAAACTTCTACTTTCTGCCCTCCTCTCTCTTTTTCCTTGTTGGAAATTTTAAAAGGCAGACAGGAATCTTTTTCACTTTTCAAGATGTCCTGAATTTCAGGATCATATGTCTTGTCCCTCGATAAATTTTTGGAGGAATCCGATGTCTTTGATATCACTCGTGTTGTATCTTTTTGTTCTTGTATTGGCATCCCAAGTGATATTTAGCACCTTTTGAACATCTAGCAATACTGATGGTGCTGCATTACATAGTCTTCCCAGCTTGGTGCCTTCTTTTGATAATTACTTCAGTTGTGGTCAATGGCTCCAATTCTGTCATTTCATTGTTGTGCTAGATGATCATAGTTCCCCATGTTTCCCTGCCTCGGAGAATAACGTAAAAAAAGGCCTTCCTGGTAAGTATTGTATTAAGAATATTGTACAAGGCACAAGTGTTCCTGTCCAGTTAAGGCCAGCGTTAAGCATCGGGGAGCTACTGAGGTGTGACCCCAAAAAGGAGCATTTCATTACTCACCAGCTAATATTTCTTTAAAAATAGTTTCCTTCTCTAATGAGATTTGTTTGTTTAGTACATTATTAGTTTTCAGGATATTAATAGCTAAAGCCGTCAATAACCAGAAAATTAATCTAAATAGATGACATTTTTGTACTAATCTTATTTGTGCTGTCATTGTTCATAGTTTAAGATTGCAACAATGGGTGACATTTTTATGTATTTTCCTGGAGATTTTAATATTAAAATATTTTAGTAAATTTTAATAGATGCTTGATTTTTACAACTGGAAATTCAAATCTTAGATGTGAGTTCTTAAAATTCTCAAGCATATTTTAAAACATAAAGAATGTTCACCATATTATTCTGACATTCTTGTCAAAATTGCCTCACTAGTACTTAAAAGTGAACCTACATAGGTGAGAATCCCAGTGTTACTAGACGAAACATCAATGTCGGAGCAGTTTCAGGAATTTGACATGCTTGAATCATCACCTGCAGTTGACGATGTTCCTGTGGTAGCAGTGTCTGTGGTTGAGCTGACACAAGCCTCGGTTGAAGCTGGATTGGTCAAGAAGGATAATGATGGTGTTACTGAAAATGTAGATTTGATAGCTCCTGTAGTTGAATCAAAGCTTTCGCTTGAGCCATGTGTAGTTGAGCCAGAACCTGTGGTTGAGCCATGTGTAACTGAACCAAAACCTGTGGTTGAGCCATGTGTAGCTGAACCAGAATCTGTGGTTGAGCCATGTGTAACTGAACCAAAACCTGTGGTTGAGCCATGTGTAGCTGAACCAGAACCTATAATTGAGCCAGAACCTGTCGCCAAGACAAATTCCGCAACTGAACCAGTAGTTGTAGCTGCTTCGGCATCTGTATCACATGACAGTGTGGGATCTGAAATAGTTGAGAATGTTGCAGCACATTCACACAAGCCTGAAGGTTGGAAAATTTAATGTTGACTGATAATACTGTAAATTATTTTTACTGCCTGCTCTCCCGTTCATAGTTTGTAAACACAGAAATACTTGAAATTCATGAAAACTAACATACTCAAAGAGGGCAAGATGTAAATCATGATGCAACATCACATATCACAATTTTCAAGTTTTATTAAAGTCTCAAAGTACATAAATGCTATTTGCTACTTGGAAGAGCATGACAAACGAAGTTACTTTCTCAATTTGTAGTGGATGCTTTGGTTGTGTTTTGTGTACTTGTTTTGACAGTATTGTGTAGATGTTCTGAAATTACACTGCATGTTGTGGTATTGTCAAATTTTTTTTATATATATATATTTTTTTTCTCCTAGACGCATGGCATTATAAAACTGAAGAGGAAACAATCTGTATGTAGGGGCTACTGTGTATCTTTAGCAACAAGAGGCTTCGTTGATGGCTTTAGTGTTTAGAACCAAACAATTCAATCTCGCTAGGCTGGTTCAGTATGATCGGGTTATATGTAGTTATCTTAAGGGCATGGCTACAATTCATACCATTATGTTCATAGTCCCATTTGACAATAGTGTCATGGATCAGTTTCAAATGATAGAAACCGGAAAGTTTTATTTTGAATTAGAACGAGAACCATTATCCGAAAGATCTGTATATGAAAGCATGTAGCATTGATATTAAACATATAAATACTTTGGTGTCATTACTGCCAGTTGATCCACATTGAGGCTTATTATGTTACATATAAACAAAATGTTAATTTATTGAGAGTTGTTGATGTGAGCAGGACAACAACATATGGTATGTGCATCCTTGTTGTATTGCTTATCAAGAAGACTTTTGTTGTGTTATGCATTTTTTGACCAATGACTGCATGTCCTATTAAAATATTTAAAGTTAATTAAGCCTAGGGTAAAAGTACACGATGGTGGCTGAGAGACTTGCACACGTCGCCTTGTAGGTACCTCCAGCAAGGTGCTGTGGTAATAAAAAATAATGCTAATTAAAATCGGATTATTTTGGAAACTAAGTTATTCATTCCAATATTTTATAATTAATAAGTAATTTGAGGCACAAGCCATTTTTCGTCCCATTGTTGAATAGTCAAAGAAATTATTTTTCCAAATCTGGCACTTTCTTCCTCTATATACCGAGTTGAAAAGAAGGTACATTTACTTGAACAATATTCCAGGCTTATTAACAAACTTCTTTTTTGTTTGTATCTTTGTGTGTGTGTGAGAGAGAACCATTTGCGTTGCCTGCAGTTTGAACTTGCTAACCTGTCAATAGTAACGAAGGCGCTCGACCGTACAAGCCTGTAAAGCTGCTAAACGATTCTTTAAGCTGGCCAAACTGTACAATAGGCAAACTAAAGTTCAAACTCAAATTTAACTTCAATAAAAGCTGTAAGGGCTAGAAATTTATTAAATTTGATATGAAAATATTTCTCTCGAGGGGTGCCAACTAACTATTCCCCAAGGTGTTCTCTTTTGAGTCATACCAACATATTTCAGTCTTGAAAACCCTTGCATCAAATGGGTTATTATACACCACTGGTGCTGACATCACGCTGTCAATGATGCGTATAAACATTGCCAAGATTGATATAAAGTGATACTGTCTGTATATTATCAAAAGCATCAGATGTGAATAATGAGCTGTACCAGTGGTTCAGGCTTTGAGAACACCAATTGCTGTACATAACAATGACTAAACTCTGGAAAGCATCAAGGTTAAACTGATGAGGAACGCTGATAACAAAAAAGTCGATATGGTATATTATTGTCGATTTCCAATTATTGGAGATGTGAAGCTGTTGGGCATTCCTAGATACCCTGGCTGTGACAGGCCTGTGAGGCAATCTTTATTACGTGTTATGAATCTGAGCGATAATATATATAATTTAAATATTAAGTTATATTTATGAGAAAAGAGAGAAAATAATTCATCATCAGTACTGTACCAGTATTCGCTGGTAACAGAAGCTAGCACAAACTGATTGGACCAGAGCTGATTCCAGAGTTTGACATCTTCCCCTCCCCACAGATGCAATGCCACAAGCTGACCAGCTCCTGGCTACCTATGTAGTGTTAGGTGGACGGGGGCATTAAGTGGTAGAAAACGATAGGAAATGTGTGTACTATTCGTATCTCAAATCGTGTAAATAAGTTAAAAAGATGCAAAGATATATTAAGTGACTCCGGGAGGCATTAAATATGTCGAAACTAGAATGAAAATAGGCAATATGATCACCTCGCACAAAATTGATAGTTCTACAAAGTCGGTGATATTTGATTAAATCGCTGGATCAGTAACAAGTTGCCATAGATTCAAGCTAAAAATATAGGTGCCAAAAAAGTTCAGTTATTTCTCTTGTAAACAATGGTAAATGGATGGAATAGGAAAAGTGCCAATTGCATTATTTGCTGTATCTTAATGCAGCTGTGTGTTGCTATGAGCACACCATCCGAACTAAATGATGTGCTCGTAGATTATTTGCAGAGTCATTTGGCGTTTCATTGCTAGTTTCACTGTGAACCTTGCAGTTGTCCGTTTTACTTTGCTAATGTTCAGGGGCCAGATTCACGAAAGTACTTGCACAAACACTTACGAACCTATACATCTTTTCTCAATCTTTGGCGGCTTTGTTTCCAATTATTAAACAGTTCATGCTCTCCGAAAAACCAGGAGGCTGTTTATAACAATAACAACAGTTGATTGGCAAGTTTTCATGCTTGTAAACTGTTTAATAAATGTAACCAAAGCCGTCAAAGATTGAGGAAAGATGTACATGTTCGTAAGTACTCGCATAACTGCTTCGTGAATCTGGCCCCTGAACATCAGTATTGCTCTTTATTCAAATCTGATAATGTACTCCTAATAAGTGTCACTTGATCTTTACTACTGTCATGTTTACGTACATCACGAGGCAGTGCAATATCATGTGCAAGGGGTTTATAAATACATCTGGACCACAAAGCCACTACCCAAGAATAATGCTTGTAATACTTAGATTGTCCTGGCTTATATATATATTAGTGAAGCAGGTTAAAATACATATTCGAATGTGGTTTTTTTTTTTTTTTTTTTTTTTTACTTCGTTTTAAAAATAACGGGAATTTTTTTTTGTGTGTGTGTGTGTGTGTTTAATTACCTAAGTGTAGTTACAGGATGAGAGCTATGCTCATGGTATCCCATCTTCCCAGTACTGTCATATAATACAGTACAGTACTTTGAAATTACTGACGGGTTTGGCCTCCACAACATTTTCAATTAACTTGTTATAACCGTCTACCACTGATTGCAAAAGAAAATTTATAATGTTTTTAGACACCTTTGTTTACTTAGCTTGAATCTATGACCTCTTGCTATTGAGGTTCCTGGTTTCAGGAATTCCTCGTCAATTTGGTCAATTCCCATTATTATTTTGTAAGTGGTGATCATATCGCCTCTTTGGTCTATATTCTAGCTTTGGCATACAGTATTTAACACTAGCCTCTCCTCATAACTCTTCTTTTTCAGGTATGGAAGCCATTTTGTAGTATGCCTCTGCATCTTTTCTAGTTTAATAATGTGCTTCTTTAGATATGGGCACCATACAATTGCTGCATATTCTAATTTTGGTCTTGCAAAAGTCACGAACAGTTTCTTTAGTATTTCACCATCCATGTAATTAATGCGATTCTGAAGTTGGTAAGCGCACCACGTGCTCCTCACATAATGTCCTGTGTGTTTCTCTGGTGACATTCTTCTATCCAGAACTACTCCTTAGATCCCTCTTTGTTGGCTCCATAATTCCTTTCCACATAATTTGTAGGTTGTACTCTCCTAATTGTGCTTGCAGAAGTTGAGATTTGGCTCTTTGTTCCTGCCTCTCAACTGTCAACCAGTGTCCAGATTCCTGAGCCTGTTGGGCTCTTGTATCTACATTTGAAACTGTGTATCGAGTCTTCCTCCAGCACATCACTGTCTAGTGCATTCCATTTGTTTACTACTCTCACACTAGAAAAAAGTTTTATAATATCCCCATGGCCCATTTTGGTATAAAGTCCCCCCCACCCTTTGTGTGTACCCTCTTGTGTTAAATAATCTACCCTATCAATTCCTCTGAGAATCTTTGTGTGTGTGTGTATGTATGTGTATATATAAATATATAAGGCTACTTATATTAATTTTTTCTTGCTTCATTAATGCTTTGTAACCTTATTTGTTATTAAAAGTTTTTAGTAACTACCAAGTATTCCATGAAGATTTTGCATTATATTATAAATATGAGTGGTTTTGTTTAATATTGGAGTGCTGTTGATTTGTTGCATTAAACAGTTGTTAATTTTGATTTATGCTGTAGAGAAAATGCTTCTCTATAATGCTGTAGAGAAATGCAGTTGATAGTAGGCATCATGAAAGGTAATATTATGCCTGTAAGAGCTTTATTAGATACAAAACGGATTTTTTTCTATTTCTCTATACAAATGTTTAGCATTACCCATTCTGAGTTATATTCCCAAATTTAATACCGTGTTATATGTTGTGTTAATCTTGAATTTATTTGCTCTTGGCAGTTAATGTGGCAGGAGTTCCCGAGCACGTGCCGTACCTGATCATCGGCGCTGGCACGTCGTGCGTGGCTGCTTTCAGGGCCATTAAGGCCAGGGATGCCAAGGCTAAGGTTAGCTGTCAAGAAACATGTTTGAATCTTACAAGACTTTGCAGTATATCTAGCCCAAGGAAACTTTATTTTGAAATTTGATAAGCTTACATTTTCTTACAAGTTGTAAAGAAGCTCACTTTGCAAATTTCAGCAAAATTAGATAATATTTAATGCTGCTACCAGACACTTTAGGATAATATACGGTATATAATAAGTATATTTTGGTAGCAGTCTTTCCTGTAGGCATGTATTATTAAATGTGGCTGACAGGTTGAGATCAATTATTCTAGCATGAATCTTCTCTATTTTCATTTCAGTTTTCTTCACTTAAGAAGGAATTTGAAAACTTAACTGTGCAAAGTTAATTTTTTCAATTATATTTGGCCTGACCCTAAGAGTTGCATCATTAGCTCTTTAATCTTTATCTCTAAAACATCTTTAGCTCTAAATATTATTATATATGTGATAAGCAGGCGATGAGTCACAATAACGTGGCTAAAGTATGATGACCAGACCACACACTAGAAGGTGAAGGGACGACGATGTTTCGGTCCGTCCTGGACCATTCTCAAGTCGATTGTGCTTAATCGACTTCAGAATGGTCCAGGACGGACCGAAACGTCGTCGTCCCTTCACCTTCTAGTGTGTGGTCTGGTCATCATATATGTGATAATATTGTATGTTATGGAGATGAATCATACTCGTTACTTCACTGGTAGGTTCTAGTGATATCGGGGGAAGGTGAAAATCCCTACATGAGGCCACCTCTCAGTAAGGAGTTGTGGTACAGCGATGATGCTGAAGCTGCCAAGAAACTTCGCTTCAAGCAGTGGAATGGCAAAGAAAGGAGGTAAGCCAGTATGTGCTTCAAGTGTGTTATGCAAGTAGAATTACAGTGAAATACTTAGGAGTTCAGAATTTATGATAATGGTTGCAGATTAAAAGATTTATTCACTGAAAAAGTTTTGTATTACCAATACATATTTTCACATAGGATATTAATAAATCAACCTATACTCATGAACAAAGGCCAAATGCTCTTTAATCCAGCCATCAGACCCCCAGTTTATGAATGAAGAATGCTTTATACACGACTTGCAATTGATGATCGAACATTTCTCAAAGTACTGTACAGTATTTCACAGATGACCTTTATTCAAACAACATCTCTAAATGCTTTACCCACATAATACAAATTTAAATATTCACCAATATATGACAGTTTAAAAATAAGTTTGTCATATATATATAATGTACAATACATAAAAATGTAAATGTATAAGTGAAGATGGTGGTACATGAGGGCTAAGCAAGTGTGTGTCCACAGGAGTCTGGTGTAGACACAGTGTTTGTATACTCCCTGGTGGTGTAAACTTAGGGGTAGCTATCAAGGTGTAAGCCAGAAGGGTTATCTTGAGGTCATCTTGAGATGATTTCGGGGCTTTAGTGTCTCTGCAGCCCAGTCCTCAACCGGGCCTCCACCCCCAGGAAGCAGCCTGTGACAGCTGACTACAATCCAGGTACCTATTTTACTGCTAGGTAACGGGGGCATAGGGTGAAAGAAACTCTGCCCATTGTTTCTCGCTGGCGCCTGGGATCGAACCCAGGACCACAGGATCACGAGTCCAACGTGCTGTCCGCTCGGCCGGTCGGGGGTGGGTGTATCATTACACTCATTTCATTACATTTATTAATAATATAATCACACTATATTTCTACAAAAAAGGAATATATTCTTGTGATTCTTTCAAGTTGATAATAGAATTAGTTCAAAGTTTCATAAAATTCAACAAATAAGCAACTAAGTTTTCCTTATTTTCAGTGTATACTTCGAGCATGAAGAGTACTATACCCCCGTCAGTGAGTTAGCAGCACGGGAAAATGGTGGCATCTCGATTATAAAAGGTCGCAAGGTTGTCAAGTTGGACGTGCATAAGAAACGTGCCTTTATGGACGATGGAAGTGAAGTCTCGTATGACAAGTGCCTTATTGCTACAGGTATGTTCCAAGTCTTAGAAAGCTAATTTTATTATTGAACAGTTTCATTAAAACCCTGATTACATAGTATATTTTAAAGAAGATTACTGAACTACTAATCATGTGATTAAAAAATGAGGGAATAATAAGGGAGATTATATTTATTAGTATCCCAAGAAAAGTTTATGCAAGGGTACAACTTGAGAAAGTAGGAGAGAACAGACTGTAATGGGGGAAAAGGGTGGGTTTAGGAAGAGCTGCAGCTATACAGATCAAGAGTCTTTGTGAGACCTTATATACTTTGTTTGCAGTGTATAGGAGTATGGAAGATAAATTAAGAGTAATGAGTGGGAGAAGAGAAGACTATTAGAATATTATCACGATAGTAAGAAATATTAGTATGAGAGTTAAATACAGAGATTATGTACTAACAGCTCTGATACATTGTAGTGATTCTTTGGTATGAAAAGGGGTGTAGACTGCTCAAGAGTATTAGCACTGAAGGTAGGTATATGAAGGCTAGAAAGATTGAAAGTTTTGTTTGGTGATAGCCTCCTGGTGAAACTAATGCTGTGGCCACCCCCTGATGGGTAGCTCCCAGGACGAGGTAATGTTTCAGGGCCTGATAGATGGAAAAGTGATAAAACAGTTTGCAATTTTATTTTGTTTTCATCTGTGTACATTTTTAAGCGAGCAAAAATTTCTTCATACAGGTGGAACGCCTAAGTCCCTGCCAGTACTTGATAATGCTGGAGAAGATGTACAGAAGAACGTAACATTGTTCCGTACTATTAGTGACTTCCAGCGCCTCCATGAAGTGGCTCGGTTAGGAAAGCACATCACTATTGTTGGTGGTGGTTTCCTGGGGTCAGAGCTGGCATGTGCTTTAGGTCATAAATGTAAGTATATGTTGCACTGTATAGGCCTGTGACCACTGGTATATTTTAGGCAATTGACATAAAATGTATATATTTTCTAAAATAAGGTACTATAGGAAGACCTGTTTAAATTGTGCCATAGTATAGCTAATCTTCTTACCTAGTTTGGTTTTTACTTGAATTTTTACGGTAGTAAACCTCGGACATCTCGATATTTAAATTACAAGAAGGTGTGTAAGTTGTCACTAGTGGAAAATTTGAGGGTAGTTGCAGACATGTGGATAGAATGTTTCAAACATTGGGAAATTTTTGTTTAGTGTAAGTCCAAGTATTGGAGAGTATCTCGATTGTCTTGCTTCATTCTTGATCTTTGAACTCTATGTACACACTGTATTCTTTGTTCAACATTGCAAATGGCCCACATTTGCCTGGTGAATTCAAGGCCACTCTTAAACTATGTCGCTCTTCTTTGAGTGGGCTGCCTTGGCTACCACTTTCAGGCTCTACCTTGTGGTTTGAATTTGACTCTGGAACTTTTACCATACTTGCTCAGGTGGTTTGCCACTTCCTTCGTATATTCTCCATGTAAATTCTTGCCTTCCTTGTCGATTGGTTGACTTGGGGGGCCAGTCACTCAGCATGTATGCTGGCCATGGACTTTGCTTTTCCTGTTTGGTAAACTTCAGCTTTCTTGTGAAGTGACAAAAGTTCCCATTGACTCACTCAGTTATTGACTTAGTTTGAATCAATCTAGGACACCAGAATGGCCCCAACCCACTCTCCCTCCACCTTTTCCTTCAGTTGGCCCTTAAATATTTGGGTGATCATCTCCAGCTGGTGTTAGGCAGATGTTATCTTCCCTGTTGAGATCTCTGTTGATTTCCGTGTTCTGAACTTTTCCCAAGTGGTCTACTCTTTGGCTGTTTAGTTGAAAGTACTTTATCGCTTCTTACATTCAGTACTAAATCGAGATGAAGCATTGTGCCCGAGGAAGATTTTTTTTCCATTTGCTGCTTCCTCGTCTGGTTATTTTGGTGATAATTTCCTTATCCTCTTTCCCTTCCGTTTGCTCAAATTGAACACAGATGGCCCTTAAACCAACCTTTGCTCATTATGCTTCATGAACTTCTTGTTATACTCTTATGATTTTTGCACCCTATTCTCATTACACCACCGTATTTGTATTCCCAGATGTGCTGTCTCAGATATCTTCATCAATTGCTCAAGTGCATTCAAACCATATTAAGTTACTTTCATGTCACTCAAGATGGGACTGGGCTGTACATAATGTTTAACTTGCCTATATGTGTGAGTAATGCATATACAGTATGGAATATTTAGCTTTATAGGCTTTGTATGGTACTTTGAAGAATCTTATTTATGTTATTATATAAAAAAAGTGTTTTTAACCACCGCACTGCACACCTGGTTTTGGCAAAAAACTTCATAGTGCAATTGTCAAGGACATATTTTTGTCATTTTTATAACTGCTCAGGTAAAGTTAGTGTCAAAATGTTTCCAAACTCAGCCATTTTCATTTCAAAACACAAAGAGTGATGAAAACATTAAAATATAACCTAATTAAAAAAATAGCACAACTCTCGGAGCATCTTAGTGCACTCTGCACAGTACTCTCAGAGCACCTTAGTGCTCTGCACAGTACTCTCAGAGCACCAACTCTGCACAGTACAGTGGTTAAGAAAGAAGTACTTTCTAATATTTTTTGCGAGACATTTAAGCATAAGATACCTGATACGTATACTGTGTACCGACATTTCTGTTTCACTTTTCGTGTAATTAAACCCTATCTTGTTTCAAATTGGTGTCTCTCCAATATACGTACATACTGCATTTTCAGTTTTCTGTCTATGAAAAAAAGTTTACATCATTGTACAAATAAATTGTGACTTTGCTATTATTTGAGGTGAAGTTAATGTGTTACAGAGCACATAGTGAATAGTATGGTAATTGATGAGGATTTTTGGTAACACATCATTACTAGAAATGGAGGAAGACATGGTTACAGAATTAAGCTGAATGTGCAGCAGTTAGGTAGATATCTTTTATGAACTGGAATGGCAGTATTTGGGTGAAACGCGTGTATAAAAAGTTTGAACTGGGCATATATAGCATTTAATTATCTTGTGGTTTATACAGCAAAAACAACCAATGGTTCGGTGATGCAGATTTATCCCGAGTCGGGCAACATGGGTAAAGTCCTGCCCGAATATCTCTCCAAATGGACCACAGAAAAAGTCAAGTCTGAAGGGGTAGATGTTATCACCAACTCATTCGTTGAAGGAGTCAAATCTACAAAAGATGGGAAAGTACAACTCACTCTTAACACTGGGAAGGAGGTAAATTTTATATGTTGATCTGTATTAAATACTATATCACAGTATTACATATTTATAGGCATTGCTGCATTTGCAATTCAGGCATGTGCAATTAAAAATAGTTTCCTTTAAATTACATTATATTTTAGAAAATCATCTTTTCTAATCATAGTTTGTGTGGAGAAAACTATATGTTTTGATAACTTTACCCATGCCATTCACCAAGTGATTTGAATTTAACAGAATTGCAAGATAGTCCTGAATAATTTGAACAGGGCCTAGGGACACAACAGATTCACTTCTCTTCAGCCAGTGAAATATTTCAAGTATCATTTATAGCATCATCGTCACCTTTAGAGTTCTTTTTGTTACTTTTCAATTTGATAGAAATTGCAGGACGTTTGGTGGGTGCCATGGTGAAAGAAGCTACTCCAAAAAGCTTATAAAACACAAGAAATGTGCTTTATACGTTTTATATATATATATATATACAAGGAATCACAAGATTCAGATGGAATTTGGAAGAGCCCATGTGCATGACTTTAAACACAAGGTGTGGCATGTAACATGGTTTGCATATCATGTTAGCAGCAATAGCAACAATTCGCTTGAGATGCAACTATAAATATGTAATGCACACTTGATTGCCAAGTTAGCGAGGCCGATTGACCTGTGTATTAGTATACTCTGCCTGCGCTATCTACACGCTATTTACACCAGGATTGATGTGGTAGCAATCCTACTTAAACACTTGGGCCAGGTTTCTCTGTTTAAATAATGGACCAATTTAGTTATTTCTATTAAATTATAAACTTTCCTTTTCTTTATCTGTTGATTAAATAGATAAAAACTTGGGTTTTTTACCAATCCTGATTTATACAGTAATTTTCTATACAAATGTTTACCCATGTAATTGTGAGATGCCTGTAGTTTTTCCCTCCAGTTGGACAAGCTGCCTTCCTTTAACTGTTACTATTATCTCTGTGATAAAATGTCCCTTGTCCATACCATTAGCCTGCTTAGCAGGCCTCATTGAGCCTCCGAAGCAGTCTTTTTGTTCTACCCACTATAAAAAAATTGATTTAGGAATATTCCATTTCATTCGTGTGTTATTTAATCACCCTGCTGTAGAAACATAGAAGATTTCCACTGTTATTTTATTGTATTTTTTTCCTATAGTTTTGCTCCTCTACTCTTCTTGTCCTAGTACAATATTCATAATTCCTACTACTGTATCTGTATCTGTTTCCTGGCTTTTACTTTGTCTCCAAAACTTTCCAGCAAGCCCTCTTACTGTACATCAGTTACTCTTGTTTCATTGCTAAGTAAATACACCCAAGTGCCCTTTGTACATGTCTTGCAAAATTTGGCTTACATTTCATTTATATCATTTTTCCTTCAGCATATTATCACACACACTTTGTAAAAGAAGATAGCATACATCTCGTCCTCATTTCTGCAATCGTTCAGCACTTTCAGATCACTTGTGATGATCATCCATCCCTCTCCTTTCCTCCCTCTCTTTCTCTCTTCCCTCCCTAGTAATTTTTGGGAATTTTGAGATGGTTGACACATTCTAGCATCATTGGAACATTTACTGTCAGAGTAAGGATGGCGTGTTTTAGCAGCATAAGAATGCTTAAGTGTTGACGAGAATCGGAACTCATCTACATTAAAAAAATTATTAACTGGTATAGGGCAATTTTTGTAAATTTGCATTCAGATGATGTTAATGGCCAAGAAGAATAGTAAACGTTTTGTGTGTGTTACAAAGCAGAATTTGAATGTGTATAGCCCTTGTGAAGTGTTAGGAGATATGAGCTAGATAGCAGCTGCTTCTGAAGGAGTAAAAGATTAACATGTTTGTATATACCAACATACTCGTAGTACAACATTTCTTATGCTGGCGATAACCTGCTGAAGTGTGATGGTGCTAATTATTGTTGATACCTCGTGATGTGATGGGCTTATGCCTCCTTTTCTCAAGAAAACTGAGAGTGAGTATGAGGCAGTGGTGGTGATTTTTTTCATTATTTCCAGGTTGTGACTGACCATGTTGTTGTAGCAGTTGGTCTTGAACCAGATGTGGAACTGGCACGCTCCTCAAGTCTTGAGATTGATGAAACGCATGGAGGTTTCAGAGTTAATGCCGAATTGGAAGCACGATCCAATCTATGGGTGGTAAGTATTTCAATACTTTAGTTTGCTTATGGACTTTGTTGATAGTTCATTTAATATTCAGTTTTGATTTTCATGTCAAAGATTTTAATATATTATTTAGTAATAGCAACCATATTAAATTGTGTAATGATTTGTTAGAAATTTAATTATTATTGCAATAGTGTCATTTAGCTTTCTTGGTGGAGCCATTGTAGCTATCTCACTGAGATTGTTCCATACTACAAGTCATATCAGTTGTAGGAGATCGCTTTGGGGACCAGAGCCAGAACCTGGCCCACTCACAGAGGCACCGTGAGCAACTGACATTCCGCCACCTCACCGGAAAATGATCCAGTAAAGCAAGTAAAGTCTTACAAACAACTTCTGGGTTCACAAGACTAAATTTGAAACTGCCAAACAACTTTCTAAATGATTCAACCAAAACTAACAAAATTTCACTCAAAACTAGCTCAAACCTTTTAGTGTCTTTTGGTGCCATGAGACAGCCCAGAGTTCAGTCATCTGCCAGCTCACAACTCTGTTCTGTCACTGATGTGGTGACAAAAAAAAAGTTATCCATGGTTTCCATCTCTTGCAGCAAGTCCCAGTGCTTCTAAGCTAAGTGTTGTCCATCCCAGGACTTGTCTTGTAGGGAGCATTTGCTTGTGTACCCTTTCATTATAGTATGTGCTTTCTGAACATTGTTTACCATCCAGTGTTATGTTGACTTGGTTTTCAGTGCTTTTAACTGCATGCGTTCAATGGCTACTTCCCTGGATGTTAATTTAGCACTGCCCTTGCACTTGACAAGAGTAACTTCTGTGGTGTGTGCAAGAGTAGCGAGCTAGCGGAGGACCAAGCTCCAGGCCACCTGGTGGTGATGGCAAATGACACTAACAGGTGTCTAAGCCTAGCCTAAGCTAGGCTATTCCTTTGAGATGTATTTCTTTCTTGTCTCAATAAACGTACTTGAGCTAGTTTCGAGTGAATTACTTGGTTGAACTGATTGAATCATTTTTGGCAGTTTTTGAAGCTTTTGAAACCAGCAGTACAGTGTAGTCTGTAAGGCTTTGCTGGCTTTCTGGATGCTTTCCCAGTGAAATGGTGGCATGTATTTCCTCTATGAGAGGTACCCAGGTTCTGGTTCTAGTCCCTGCGAGACCTAACAGAACTCACGTGAATGAAGTGACATGTAGTACAGAACAATCTCGGTGAGATAACCAAAGGGAGCAACCAGGAGCCAGATTTACGAAGCAGTTATGCAAGCACTTACGAACCTGTACATCTTTTCTCAATCTTTGGTAGCTTTTTATACCAATAACAACAGTTGATTGGAAAGTTTTATGCTGGTAAACTGTTTAATAAATGTAACCAAAGCCGCCAAAGATTATGGAAGGATGTACATGTTCGTAAGTATTGGCATAACTGCTTCATGAATCTGACCCCATGGCTCTACCAAAAAGAAGTGTTTAATTACAATCAACGCTGGGTTTATTTGTAATCTTACATTGCTATAAAACCAGTTAAATATTTCAACATAACTGAACTTGTGGAACATCTTCAAAGATATTACAGAATGGTAATCAGTATTTTTAATTATTTACAAAGTCATGATTCAGTTAATTTGATAATTTGGCACTTGAGACTTGAATAGTTGTAGTGACAATGGAGTTTACTTGGGAAGGCCTATCAGTAGCTCCCATGCTTAAGTACTAGTAATTCCAAGTAATAGGAATTACAGCAGGCCCCTTGAGACCCACCCTGACCTTTTGGAAGTGAGGACCAGAGGCTGGCACGCACAATACAAGGCAAGGGGGAACCTAGGCTTTGGAAATTCTATCCAAACCCAAGAAAAAATCTACTAGAAAGGATAGGCACAACTAAACAAGCAACTGCTTGAAGTACGCATAATATAATAACCACAAGATAAAATAGTCATTGCCACACCACTGCTGAGCCCTCCTGCTGCTCTACACTCGGCTAAGGTGTGTCGGCTATCACAGAAAGTAGTTCTTCGAGTGCTGTTACTCTACTGTACTATAATTTTGTTTCCTTAATGCTTCATGGTTGTGTTTGGTGCCTCTCACATACATGTGTCCTCGCATTTTGCTCCGACTGAGCTAGGGGCTACCATTTGTGGAGGTCAGCTTGTCTTCCTTATTCCACCAGAGATAGCTGCTCTCAGGGGTTTGGATTCCTCCTCTAAAAGTTGGCTTCTCTGAACTCTCCTTGCTTCTAGGTAGAGTATGGGATTTGGTCTCCACTGCGAGATCTGTCAATGGATTGTTGATGTACGGTAGTTTCTTATTTGCTGGAGTTGCTGTTGTAAGTGGCTCTTGATTCCTGTGACTTTTAGTGCCTTTTTCTATGGCCAGGTGTGCACAGGAAGGAAAAACACACAAGACTGTGGATAATGAAGAAGCACTAGCTTTATTCTTCCTTGTCTGTGACATCTTATGCCTTCCTTGCTGGGCAAATTGGCTTGGGGCTCGGCATGCAATTTGCTGACATGCTTTACTTGCCTGGGGCATCCATGCCTGTTCGCATAATAGTCTGGGCATCCAGTACTCGTTGCACTGAGGTCTGTTTATATCGAGACCATGTTTTGCTGCCTATGGCTTCACAATTTGTGATTCAGCAGTTTTGGATGCCATTGGATATTTCTGTTACTGTAGTCATTTTAATTATACTGTTAGTGCTATACACTAAATATTAATCTACACTGTCCCTTATTTGTTAAAATTATTTTTAAATTCATAGATTTAAATATAGATCTTACCAAGATTTTTTTGTTTAAATTGTATATAATAAAACTTTTGTATTTCAGGCTGGAGATGCTGCCTGTTTCTTTGACATTAAGCTTGGCCGCCGACGTGTTGAACATCACGACCATGCCATTGTGTCAGGGCGGTTAGCGGGCGAGAACATGACGGGCAGTGGTAAGTATCCCATACTCTACAGTTTCTGCATACACTACACAGTTTGTGGAGCATGAACCTAGAGACATTTAATTCATTATAAGGGTAGGTATGCTTGTGTAAACATGATAATGATGGTGTACATGGCAATCTCCATCTTGGCTTTACAGTATACTTCATGCTAGTTATTGTAATAATAAAAGTTAAGCAATCGATCAATAATAGGTACAAATTTAGTGTTAGACTTGATTTTAAATTTTTCATGGATTTTTATTTCTTGGCAGATATATTGTGCATGATAGGGAAAATATACATCTTTAACCATTCCACTGCAAGAGTCATACAGGGATGATTTAAAGTACTGCGTCAGACTTAAAATCCTGGGGCATACACGGAGCTTCATGCCTGCAGAAAAACAGATGTCAATTAGTAAAAAAAATCCTGGGCACCCTGATTTGACAGCTGGGTGGATAGCGCTTCGGGTTCGTAGTCCTGAGTTTCCGGGTTCGATCCCTGGTGGAGGCGGAGACAAATGGGCAAAATGTTTCTTTCACCCTGATGTCCCCTGTTACCTAGCAGTAAATAGGTACCTGGGAGTTAGACAGCTGCTACGGGCTGCTTCCTGGGTGTGTGTAACAAAAAGGCCTTGTCGAGGACCAGGCCGCGGGGACGCTAAGCACCGAAATCATCTCAAGATAACCCATCCTGGTTGCAAGGGAGACTGCCAGTAGCAAATCTGACCGCTTATCCAGACACTACTACATATCCAATTGCAATTGGGCCTGAGGTGTATGAAAGGGAAGATGTTGAGTATTCATAATTTAGTGTCCAGGAATCGGATAATAATGGCAGTGTGTGTCTAGAATTAGGGATGTGCGTAGTATCGTGACTACGATATATATTGTTTGTAGCGCTACACTATTTTTGGATTTCATTACCACACCCACCAGAACAGCTTAGTGCTTCATAATTGTGCATGAAAATAAATGTACAGTTATATAATATGTGTATAAAGTGTAATACCAGCAAAAACATTGTTTTATTTTACTAAGCAAATAATAGAATGTGCATCTTATTGACACAAATATATTTGAGCATCCTGATATTGCACATGTTTTATTATACAAGTTTATCAAAAGACAAACTATTGAATAATATTACTGCAAAAACTTGAGAAAACTAATTAGAGACTAACTAGAGAGGATGATGGGGTGCAGCCCATCCTCCGGTTTTGGTAGTACAGTACTGTACTTAAAATAACAATGAGGACCATCAAATGTATATTGACGTAAAAGGCAATTAGATTAGCCGGTCGGCCGAGCGGACAGCACGCTGGACTTGTGATCCTGTGGTCCCGGGTTCGATCCCGGGCGCCGGCGAGAAACAATGGGCAGATTTTCTTTCACCCTATTCCCCTGTTACCTAGCAGTAAAATAGGTACCAGGGTGTTGGTCAGCTGTCACGGGCTGCTTCCTGGGGGTGGAGGCCTAGTCGAAGACCGGGCCGCGGGGACACTGCAGCCCCGAAATCATCTCAAGATAACCTCAAGATAGAGATTAGAAATTTGTACTTTGAATTTGGACAAACCGGAAAGGTTTTTGTTCTGATGTTGCAAAGAAAACTTAACTAGTCTAAACTTCCTATGTCTAATATAGTACCTGTACATATATGTGCTATACTAGGCCTAGGAATATTTAACTTTGGTTTTTAGCTTTATATTTTTCAGACTCAATAAATTGCATAGTACTAAATTCTGCTATCTAATTATCCCCTAGTTCTATGTATGAACAATGGTCCACATATTTAGAAAAGGTACTGTCTAAACAGGAAGATGAGTTGAAATAAGTGTATGGAGGATGTACTTGGCAGATGGAATTTAATGTGAGGTGGAAATAAAATTAGCCCTTGCTTTAATCTTGAAAACAGATATCCCAATCAATTGTGCATTTTTATTCCAGGTAAGCCGTACTGGCATCAGTCAATGTTCTGGTCTGACTTGGGTCCTGAAGTTGGTTATGAAGCTATTGGCATAGTTGATTCATCACTACCCACCGTTGGTGTGTTTGCTAAGGCCACCGCCAAGGACACGCCCAAAGCTGTTGTGGAAGCAACTGGAGAAAGCTTAAGATCTGAAACAGAGCAGGCAAGTTAATGATTTATCACAAACATCATAAATATTTTTAGCAATTCATTTATTACATATTCCTCATAGGGAATGTCTTATATTTATTACTTAATTTGCTTTCCGTCCAAAATTTGTGGTGCCTGCTTATCTTGAGTGTGCTATAGCACATTGCTTTGAAACTTAGGATAGTGCAAGGAAAAACGCATGTTGGTGTGGGCCTTACAGCTGTATGGCATCGGTAAGGTATGAATCATCAGTAGGGAAAGAGGGCCAGCCTTGAGCAATATCTACAACAAAGTGAAACTGCTCTAGATTTTCTATACATTTCTGGGATGCTAGGGAATAATCCAAGTGGTCAGTTGCAAGAGATATCCCAGAAAGTATAGTGGCATCTGCAATTATTCAATTTTTTTTCTCAGCATGACCCTCTCAGTTGCTACCCTAGCCCACCCACATGCCAGGTTCTAGTTGACTGTAAGCCCACCATGACTGACAAAGAACTTTGCAAATGGCCTTGCCACAGTTTCGGAGTGAAGAAACAGTGGAGAGGATATCTGAATCCTCCAACTAAAGTCTGCTTATTATTAGACAAAAGAATAGAAACTTACTCGACTACAAGCCCATCCCCCTGCTAATTACTTACTTATCTATTACTTCACCAACTACCATGTTGGGTCAACAAGGTCAGGGGAACTAACAGGCCTCACCTGTTAGTGGGCCTCACTAACCCTGGCCCCATTATACCACTGTTCATAGCTTGAGATATGCTATCCTTGAAATGCCTCTCTTGATTGGATACACTCAAAAACACATTTAGCTTTCAATTTCAAACCCACTTAAAAGGTTCAGTAGAAAAGCAAAGGTACAATATGCTGAGAGGATTCTATCAACTTAAAGGACCAAAGTTTTCAGTACTCTCCTTCTAAACGTAAAGGGAACAACTGGCTAACTACTCGTGGTGTTCAAAAGAGAACTTGATGAACACCACCAAAGGATACCTAATCAACGAGGCTGTGATTCATATGTCATGTTGTGAGCAGCTGCTCCAAACAGTCGGATGACCAGACTACCAACTATGAGGCCTGGTCAGAGGCTGGGTGCTAGGGACATTGATCCTCAGAACCATTGCAAGGTAAAAGCAAGTTAATTTAAAAAAATATATATATTAGCTCCCCATAATATTGGTTTCAGTTGTACGTATGATAGAAATACGAGGTAGATATTATTTCCATTCCTGTTTGAGTGTCTGCATTCTTATTTTGGAACCTCTTATTAGAAAAAGGATTGTATGCCACATTCTAATCAGAACAAATATTTAGACGCCAATCATTTTGGGGGAAAACAAAATATTTTTTTATCTTTGACTTCATGAAGCTATTAATTTGTTTTTGTGTTTCAGGTTGCTAATACTTCCTCCTTCATACACTCCAGTGCTCCTCATGCACCTCTCAAGGGTGAAGACTATGGCAAGGGTATAATATTCTACTTGCGAGAAAATGTTGTGGTGGGAATTGTTCTGTGGAATGTTTTCAACCGAATGCCAATTGCCCGGAAGGTAAGTAATAATTTTTAAAACCGACTTTCATGATGACAGTATCATTATCCCATGTCCCACTTTCATAGGGAGTTATGAGCCCAGAGATAAAAAGATGTATATAATGAAAGAAGGTAAAAGGTACAGGGAATCCCAACTTTTAAGAACAGGCTGCATTCTAAAAAAGGTGTTCAGAAGTTAACCGTTCATATCTTGGAATCAGATTTCCCATTGGCTCAATGTTATAAATAATGGATATGTTCCCAGACCATCAAAAATCAATACCCTATTATATTTTTAATGGTGTCTTCTATTAATTGTCATCCTCACTTCCGTGGAAATAAACATGCCATTCACCTGGGCTCTAGGAGACTCACCGTGGACCTTTCTTAATTTCTCAAAAAGTGAAAAGTGACAATGTTCCAAGAAAAAAGTGGCAAACGATCAACAGAAAATATAGCAAAAAGCCCAACAAACTCCCAAAAAAACATCTAAAATGCCCAACAAAGCATTTCAAATCACCCAAAAAATATCTAAAATACACAATATAAAATTCCCAAATGCCCAACAAAGAAAATTCCATATGTCCCTCACATTCTTCCTCTTGTGTGTCCTCTGCCTCCTTCAATTTCTTCTTGCATTATATTCTGTTAATAAAGATAAGCATATACTTTTGGCTCCACATCTTGTACTTAAATTTTACATGCTCTTTGCATCAAGTTGTAGCATAGGATGACATGGAGTTAATCTGAACTTTGCAGTCATCATCAAAATGGTCAAATAGATCAGTGTTATTGACAATACAGAGAAATTTTTTGTTCTCTAAACTTGTGCATTGGTTACACTAAGAAAGTTACTTTATGGGTTTATTTGATGATATACTGACTTTATTTTCTTATTTCAGATTATTAAGGATGGTAAGAGTTATGATGACCTTAATGAAGTTGCTAAGCTGTTTAGCCTGCATTCAGAAGAGTAGAAGCTCTAGTTTCTTCTTTTATTCCATTTTTATCTGAATCAGATGTGTATAAAACGTTATAAGTGGTTAAAAAGTTATCTTATGGGTGGTAAGTTGTTTATAGAATAAATTGCAACTATAACAATAGGCTGTAGCCTAAGAAATGTTGAGGTGTTGATTTCCTTTACTTAAACAAGTTTAATGTAATGTAAAGCGTCAATTCCCATATTTAACTAATTATAGTTATTGCATGCTGAGACAAGGAATGCTTTTGCTATAGGTTTTCAAAGAATGCTTTTGGGAACTATATGTGTAGCTTCATTGGATTTCAGACAATGTAATCATCTCAAGTAAGGTCAATATTGTGAAATTGTAACTGGGTGGCATTTATCTTAAATTAATTTTGTACATGATATTCAAAGATTTCTATTGTAAACTCGGCAAACTACTGTATAAGTTCTCTTCAATTAAGGAATGTTAAAAAAGAAGTTATACAACATGGCATATCAAAACAAAAGGAATAGTGCTCCAATGACTTCAGTTGTTGTAATATTAAAGACTTTCCTAATCAGATGTCAGTATGAAACATTATCTGTGTGAGCAATATAGTGTGTGTGATATTTTATGGCTTGCTCAAATGAGTATTTTGTGGAACTTCAGTTCTTTTGTGGATTATTAATCTTTTAATCATATGTCAACATTAATTCTTTTGACTAATAATCCAAAGTCAATTGGTACTCAGAACTACTGTATATTGACAAAATAAATATTGTTTATAGAATCACTGCCACTGGGAGCTATATCTATGCCATACTTCAGAGGCTGAAAGTGTGCCAGCGGCTGATAATTGTTATTTGTCTTAAGATCTGCATCTTTTATAAGTTTAGCTGAAGAAATACAAGTAATTAATGTTTCTTTGAGGTATGAGTAGTTTTGGCATAGGTTACTTTATTTCTTTATGCTATGATGAGCGCTGGGGCCTCATATTCTGTGTAGGTGGGGGGGGGGGGTAGGGGTATTATGCATTTCCTCTAAACCCGCCTATTAAGACTTATTCCTGGAAATTTACATCCACTATGTATTTAATTTTATTTGCATTGCATATTGTTAAATAGAAGGTTGTAATGTTAACTTTTCAGACAATAATACAACTACAAGATAATATTAAATTTTGAATGAAAACAAGATTAATTGGTCAATGAAGTTACAATCCAAATTTAGCCACTCCAATTAACAGGTTGTATAAGTTAAATTTAGACCAACTGCTGGTCGTAATTGTTTTCACCGTAAGTTTGCAGTGTGTAGAAGGAAATAAGTTAGATTCTTATTAGACATTTTTAATGGTGCAGTAGGAATCATAGTTATGCCATTTATGTTCTAAAAGTTTTCAGAGTATTTAATTTTTAAACTATTTCAGCAGCATGTGCTGCTGGTCTCCTTTGCAGCTCAGGAATTTGTTAGTGAGCTTGCTTTGAGCACTTGTAAGTAAATCTTTAAGTAAAGTTTAATCATTTGAATGCAGAAGGATTCACGCTTTCATTTTAGGTTTGATGCTTGTGCTTGAACTTATGGAAGGAGGTTTTCAATGTGGAAAAGTATCATGGTTGTAACAATGTTTTGTAAGTGTCCTTAAATCATGCTTCATACACGCTAAACAAAATTTAATTTAGTTTTTTGCAATCTTGTATTATCAGTGGTTGTTCACAAAGGGTTATCTTTGATGTAGCAAACAGGCAAAAATTTAATGGTTGCTCAGATATGCAATTTACATTTTTAGTTTGTGCAATTTTAAGCTCGGTTCATACAAGACCTTTCAATATTTGTGTCAAAGTGTGGAAGATGAATACTTGAGTTCTGTATATATAATGATTATATACGATATGCTGTAGAACACATGCATAGTCATCTTTGTACATAGTGTAAGTGGCAATACAACAAATGTTGCTAGAATATTAGTACAAAATATTTTGATATGATACTAGTGTCATTTATTCCTAATTAGCTGCGTAACAAAAAGTTGTCTTAATTTTAATAACTATTTTATGATGATTTCTATAGTTTTGATTTTTTATAATTATTTGATGTTTTTACTTATTTAATCCCCCTGCAAGACCAGTGCAGTGAATTGACAGTGGAAGCATGGTCAAAATGGAAATTGAAAGTGGCTTATGAAGCTTCTTTGCTGGCCTAAGGTAAGGATGGATATGAAACTTATGTAATTTGTACATAGATCCTCCCTATATATTCCCTGTTAGCCTTCATTTGGGAGTTATACCAGGGGACAAAGTGCTTTATTATTGATGAATAGGGGTAAAATGGGAGAATAGGTGCAGTCTGGGTGAAGAATGAACCTGGTGGTCCAGCTGAACTAGAGTGAAGGGAGCATTAAGGGATCAACAGTCCTGAAGGTTCATGTGGGTGCTGATTCATCAGTAGTGACCTGCATATGCAGTTCTGTTCTTGAGGCACTTGCCTTGAATATACTCCCCCATCCTTGTTAAGTTGTGATATGTGGGGGGAGGAGGGTGCTTACTTGTTGATTGGTGCCTGTTCATCTTCATGTGTTGAGCTCTGAGGACCACGGGGCTTTCTCTAGAACAGGAGAGTCAAATTCATTTGCTATTGCAGGCCAGATTTCATGGTTCTACAGGGTGTGGGCCAAGGCAAAAAGGGCCGCCACCCTCTAGGGGCAAGAGTAAAACACTAATTAGCCTTACTCCTAATATGACTATTTCCAGGAAGACACTTGGCATCTGTTGGAACTTTGCATAAAAGTTTGGAATTATTTATTGATCTACAGCAACCTTGAATATAGAATTCAGGCATACATTAAGTTAAAAACAAAGCCCATATATGTTAATATTCAGTGGGGAAAAATATCCTTTCACAGATAAAGGCACTTCCAACAAATCCTCGAGGCAAAGCACTTGATCTTGGGGCAATTTGATCTTTGATATTTATATTTTGTGCAACATCAATGCTCAAACATTTCTCTCAATAGAACTAGACTACATTCTAGGTCAATTACTTCTAGCCAAAGAAAAATTCTGAACACTGATGGAAAGTAAGTTATGGAAAATAGAGAAATCTTTATCATGGCATTTAGTGTAAATCTTTTGTAAAACTTTATTTCTTAACTAAAAAAAATCATGCTGCAGGACTTTTCTGTGTGAATATCAGCATAAATTTCAGGTACAGCTATATCTTTCAAGAAGTCATGAAGTGTCACCAATTTACTGCATCCTTGCATCTGTATAATTTAAGTATTCTGTGATATCCACCATCAAAACAAGATCTCAAACCTATTTATTATTTTTCACTTCATACATCCTTTTCATTTGTTTCCATATTAATTGATATTCACCATGCAGTTCATTAGAGCACTTCAGTACAGAGGGAGAAAGAGGTCTTTGCACCAGTATAGAAGAATGTACATCACAGTAGGACTTCCCTGTTAAAAAGGGGGCCACCACTTTGGACGACACACCCTTTTCTGCACTAGCCAGTGCAGGAAACTGGTAGGTGGTATCCCTTGGCTTTAGGGCCCAACCAATTGCGAAAAGGATGACTACGTATAAGGATAACGGAACCACCTTACAAACTCGGGCTCATGGAGCAGGTGAGTAGACCCCCGAGTCGAGTCAGACGGACAATGATAATAGATCAGGCTCTGTATACCTTGTTACACTGGGCCCAGACCAGGCTTCATCTTTGCTAACTTGTCTGATTCTCCATTCCCCTCTCACTTCCTTTGCAGGGTAGAACCGCAAGCTCCCAGTGGTTACTACCTTGTCACTTGCAGTGGCTCCATCTTTAGTTGTTACAACTGCATCTTTTACCTCCTTAATGGGGGGACCTCGTCGCCATAATCGCAATCTAACATGATTCCCTCAACCAATGCTACATATGATTTGTTTGGACCAGCTATGTGGCCTAAATATCTTTATTTTTTTCTTGATGACCTTACCACCCTGATTTTTGACACAAATAAGCACCTTGTTGACTCTGTTGATAACTTATCTTTAATCCCACTTAGCAGTTTTGTCCTGTATTGGTGAGAGACTGGTTTGGGTATCCAAAAATGTTTAATTAAGTGCTAGCATCAGCACAATCATTCTCACTCCCCATATTTTAATTAGGAACATGGAACCTTAAACACTAATATGAGGATGTTAATTATATCCTTGCGCCCTAAGGTTATTCTCTAGGTTGACAAGTTCACTCTGATAGATCTAGGTCTGCCGATGGTGTTGTCTGAACAACCTGTCTTTGGGATTTGTATCCTTGGTGTAATCACTTAAAACTCGCCAAGTAATTAGTGCTAATTATCTACTCCTTATCCTTAGCTTGGCTAGGTTAAAACTGTATTATTCTCAAATGTGAAATTCGAAAACTTTGAGTATGCCCCTAGAATTTCTCATGATGGAAAACTTTTATATTTTAAATCCATTTATAAAACACCACAGTTATAATAAGAATATTCTCTGTTAAGGACAAAGGTTCACTTGTCATTTTACAAGTAGATTATTATTAGAACCGTAATATGCTTTCAAGCCATCACAAATAACTGTCCAAGCAGTGAGAGAGAGTTTAGTGTCTTGGTGTAATCACTTTCCTGACCCGACCTATATGTGCTTCCCGGGTGGCACATAGAGGTTTGTGTACATATTTGCTGTTTGCAAATTCACAGCAATAACTTTATGCAATTTTGTATGTTTTTTCGCTGGCTGCTTTCCTGACTTCAACATATCTTTGTCATTGTGGTTGACTCACAGTGCTCTTATGGTTCTTGGAGTCATTTAACCCTACCATTTTAACAAATTACAGTCTTAACAGTTAACTTTTGCTGAGTGCTGTTACAGTGACACACAAGAACGAACTCTAAAACATTTCGTCTAAATATGGGGGTTATACCTGACTTGACAAAGGTGGAGAGTTCGTTAGTCCCCTCCCTCGCTGGCACTTGGTCACGGTCCTCCACTAGACATGACCTTCCGCACCACACGACAAACTGAATTGGAAATTACTCTTGAGAATTGTAGTAGAAATTTGTTAATTGCATAGTCATTAAGTACAGGTTTGGGGCAAGGGTTGTATATCTAGGGCTGTGCTTGCCCATTAGGGCTTATATATCAATGTCTTATCTTGGTGCCTTCTTTTGATAATTACTTTCAATGTCTATGATGAGTTATATAAGTGTTTGGCAGAACCGAACTTGTTTCTTACCATCTTGAGATGATTTCGGGGCTTTTTAGTGTCTCCGCGGCCCGGTCCTCGACCAGGGGCCAGATTCACGAAAGCACTTAGGCAAGCACTTACGAACGTGTACATCTTCTCTCAATCTTTGGCGGCTTTGTTTACAAATATTAAACAGTTTATGAGCTCCGAAGCACCAGGAGCCTGTTTATAACAATAACAACAGTTGAATGGCACGTTTTCACGCTTGTAAACTGTTTAATAAATGTAACCAAAGCCGTCAAAGATTGAGGAAAGATGTACACGTTCGTAAGTGCTAGCGTAAGTGCTTTCGTGAATCTGGCCCCAGGCCTCCACCCCCAGGAAGCAGCCCGCGACAGCTGACTAACACCCAGGTGCCTATTTTACTGCTAGGTAACAGGGGCATAGGGTGAAAGAAACTCTGCCCATTGTTTCTCGCCGGCGCCCGGGATTGAACCCGGGACCACAGGATCACAAGTACAGCGTGCTGTCCACTCGGCCGACCGTCTCCTCTCCCTAGCACCATGTCTGCATTTAAAACTGGATGGAAGTATATTACTACTTTAGTATGTAGTTCTCCTGTGTGTGTAACTCCCATGTATGCCCTTTAGTTTGGTCTGTCCCTATTATTCCTCTCTTCCATCACCACTTGGTGTAGTGTGGTTTAGTTCCGCCCCTCCCCGTAGCTCAGTTCCCTCAATTCTGGGACTAGTAACAAACCACTTTTTTTTTTATTAATACATGAGGTACATCTGCATTAGTGCAGCTACCCTAGACTATATGAAGTGAAGTACAGAGTGTCAAAAAAAGCTAACTACGTGATGCTAAAAAATCCCCATCACACAGGATGGTTAGTCATACAGAGGCATGTGATAGGCAGTCTGCACTGGCAGACTCCGGATGCATTTTGAGGATATCATCAACACAAGAGTGAATAAGGCAGCAGTGGTAATAAAAGTCCCCATCTCGCAGGATGGTTAGTCATACAGGGCCATATGTTCAGTAGCCTGCACTGGCAAAATGTAACATTTTCAGTTTATGCATTTTTATGTGTAAAGTCCCTGCTAAGTATTGCATACTCTAGCAATGGTTGGACATACAGCATAAATGGTTTGGTAAGTATTAATGGGTAAGTTCTTGAATTAAGGCTTTATACAGCCAGATCGGTATCAGTAACACTTAAGCCTTACAACACCGTAGCCTCGTTCTGCTCCAATAACACTGGAACCACCACCGCAGCCTCCTTCCACTCCTATCCTTGCTAAATGTCCTGACTTCCAGGACGTGCGTGTGTCTTGCTTCCAGACTATCCCTCGAGGTCATGTATGTCTCGATAAAATCCTTGGTGAGTCAGATCAAAGGACTCTCTAAGAAGTCCTTGGAGAGTCCTTTGATATCACTGGCCCTGTGCGTGTTTGTTCTCGTATTGGCATCCTTAGTGATAATTAGCGCCTTTTGTATATCCTGCAACTTTGATGGCGCTGCATAGTCTCCCTGGCTTGGCGCTTTCTTTTGATAATTACTTACTCGTTCCACTTTAGTAACACTTGAAACTATACCGTACCTTCGCTCCGCTGCTCACTTTATTAATTCATTAAATAACATGCCTGGATCCCGCCCCCTGGTGTGTGTTTTGTTACATATTGTATAAAGTATTATTTTTTTTACATTTAATGATTGACTGCATAATAAATTATCGATTACAAAAGTCATATACAATTAAGCTAACCACCTGGCATACTGTACTCAAATTTGATTACTAAATATTTATCAAATATTTTTGTAGCCAAGTTTAATGTATAAAATACATTTTTAGTAACTGTGTACGTTTTTGTGTGTAATAGTATCACTGATGTCAAGAAACCAACATTTTCGAAGACACACATTGTAGTTGACATGTAGCTACACCCAGTCCTCCAATAATAATTGTACATATAACTACTGCGTTTGTACATATCATAGTAGTTATAGTACCTCTAACTACTATAATGTGTACATAAAAAGTTACTGTAGCCTCATCCCCCTAAAGAAGTCCTCGTTTTTACTAATGATTTTGCAAAGGCACCGACATGCATCCACTAAACCTAACTTCCTAAAACTAGTCAAGTACAGCTATAGCTATAAGAAAGGACGTCTCTCAAAGGTTGGAAGCCCAACTTTGCAGGGTGGATGGTCTGGGGTACGGGACGTACTTAGGCTGTCGGGGACGGCTGTGTTTGGCCTATTCAGGAGAGGCATGGGGGGTCGACCCCGACCCTTCGCCATAACAGTCGATACAATTACAGTTTACCATGAAAAGGTATGCGAGGCTAACTGCAACCGTCTAGCCTACAACCCCGTACAGACAAACCAAACTTAGATTTATAGATGTTGATTGCGGAATTGATAGCCTTCTGCGCTTGCAAGGTAAATTGTAACCTTGTGCTGGCGGGGTAAATTTAGTAGTCATGTAATCCCTTTTTGTTGTTGCCCAGTGCAGGCGCTGAATAATTCAGAGGGTAGACACTCGCAGCTGGTCATGTAGGTCTCCTTTGACACTTTCTGCACGATGCTGAATCCAGGTGGCAGTCCCACCTGCATGTATGTATGTGTGTGTTTGTCTACTGTTTTATTTTACTTCTTGTTTTGATCTAGGAAGTGAGGAGAGTCGATTAGAAGAACTCTTGTTTATTTTACCGAACTTCTCCTGTGTATGCTTCTAAATTCTGAAGTAATATATTGCATTACAATTTATTACGCCAGCTAACAGCTGGTGTAATAAATTGGATTCTCAGGATGGCTATTCGGACACTACACACAGAGATCACACTAACGTGATGCATCAAATGAACAAATCCACAAGGGCCGTGACGAGGATTCGAACCTGCGTCCGGGAGCATCCCAGACACTGCCTTAATCGACTGAGCTAAGACAGGGTTAAAGAGTTGAAACCGAAGTTCTACTGAACTTACTGGATCCCGTAGCCTCTCCGAGGCACAAACCAGGATTTTACACAACTCCCCCCCTGCACCCGAGCAATGTCAATAGGCCGTTTCTCAGAATAGCCAATTTGTTCATTAGCTATTCTGGTGTCTTTTGAATATAGATGGTGAGTGCTTGTTTATTTATGTCCATATGTTAACGTCTTTATAATTTATGACCGTTCTGTTTTATAATTTTATTTCGTTTTGAACATTTATACAGAGACATTTATATATCATTTCGAATATTTATACGTGACTGTTTTTGTTTGGGATTGGCAGCAGCAGCAGCATACTAACCAAACTGCTCAAGATAAAACAAAATTGTATTTACATTTCGGAAATAAGTATATTTTCCTGAATTTACCTGAGGGCCACCGCTTTTCTAGTGGCCTCGACGGGGACAGGAATCTGGCGGCTTGTCAAAGGCCACCATTCTACATCATGTGGGCGGTAGTGGAAAGGGTTACATAGGCACATAACAAAGAGCTCAGGGGCTGAACCCCAAATTCATTTAGTAAAGCAAGTTACAGTCTTGATAAGCTAGTTACAAAATTTAATGGATATTATTACACCAACAATGAGTTCGAGACCTACCATGAGGTTACCTTGAGGTGTTTTCGAGGCTTAGCGTCCCCGCGGCCCGGTCGTCGACCAGGCCTCTTGACCGACCACAAGTCTCTAAATTAAGTAATATACATGTGTGGTGATGTTGTTGTAGATTCAGCTACTCGGAACAAGTTCCAAGTAGCACGGGCTATGGTGAGCCCGTAACTGACCTGGCACAAGAGCGGGGCAAGTAGCAAGGGCTATGGTGAGCCCGTAGTGGACTTACCTGGCACAGGAGCGGTGCCTGTGTGTGTGATGTGTGGTGAGCTAGTGTAGTAATTTATATATCCTGCACACACCGCCTCCCATCCAGTGGAAAGGTTACAATCACCCACATTTACTACTTACAACTAGGGAGCCGAGCGGACAGCACGCTGGACTTGTGATCCTGTTGTCCCGGGTTCGATCCCGGGCGCCGGCGAGAAACAATGGGCAGAGTTTCTTTCACCCTATGCCCCTGTTACCTAGCAGTAAAATAGGTACCTGGGTGTTAGTCAGCTGCCACGGGCTGCTTCCTGGGGGTGGAGGCCTGGTCGAGGACCGGGCCGCGGGGACACTAAAAGCCCTGAAATCATCTCAAGATAACCTCAAGAAGATAGCAAATTGGGACTATATGGCTAAAATTTCTGGTAGTAGTTAACATTTATCATTTCTTGAACATCTGTTCAAGATTCACGTATCTTTTCAGACCATCACATTGTGACGGAGGGTATGCAAATAATTTTGTTGACAGTTTACATTTGGTCAGGTCTACATCAGCAGATAATGAATATTCCCAGAGATACTTGTAACCGAGTCTAAGCCGAGTGGTAGTAATATTTAGGAGTCTGCTGATTGTATTGGATGATCCATAGACGTGTGGTTCTTCTTGCTGTATGGTTCTGTGGTATGATAGATGGAATTACTGGCGTAGATTTCACTTTGCCTCAGAACTACAAGGTTTTGCTGAAGTTCTTGGTGTATTATTGTACTGCGATTCCGTGTAGCCAATCCAAGGTTATAATTAAATCCGTTGAAGACAGACTCTGGCTAACTCATCATCAGCTCTATCATGCATTCGGAGACCAACATTCTTGCCTGAACCACATTCTATAGTTACGAAGCTTTTCGAGAAAAAAAACAAAACTTGGAGGGGCTTAATAGACTGTAAAAAGGAATGTCGGAGGAAGAAGACATAAATGCTCCTTCAACTTTCTTTTCCTCCATAAAAATCTTGAAGACGAGCCGATCTGAGGGCGGGAAAGGATCAAAGGCCAAGCCACACCACTGCTGTGGCTCAGACGGTTAGCTCCCCACTCGACAGATACTTCTGGAGCTGGGAATTCCTGGAGAGTCGGTGGTGGTGGTGGGGGTGGGGGGAGAGAGAACCGCTTTAAAGGGAAGGAGATATTGTGATGGCGGATTAGTCTCATTATCTGCTAAGTTCCTGTCACGATATATTTATCAACTTTCACCCGTCCTTCTTGTTTTTCCTCTGCCCTATTATTATTGCTTCCTTATTCCCCATCAGTCCATCGTTCGCAGCGAGCTATCACGCGATCCTAATTAGATATTTGCATGTGTAACACACACACAAACCCTACTTTCATCTTATTACTGCTGTTTTAAATGTCATTTAAATTAAATTAAATTTAATTGTCTTGATCTGCAATAACGCTCCTGGTTTGTATGCGATAAATTCACTCGCATGTAGACGCAGTATGGTCATAGCTGGAGAATTACAGCCGACTAGAAAGTTATAAAAGATTCTCTCATTGGCACAGAATGTTCACGAAATACGCTGTACAGTGATGCAAAAAGAAACCAAGTCAAAGAAGCAAAGGGATAGCAACAAACTCTACAGAACTCTACAGTACAGCATAATAATAATAAGAAAAAACACAACGATACAAAAAGATTATATTCAATGATGATCTCTTATGAACGCAGAATTAAATATCAATAAATATTAATGTTATGATATCGTCTGCTGAAAGGAATACATTCAAATCTCATAAAACAAGATCCATTCTTAGACAATTTATTTCAGTATACAGTAATTTATTATTTATTCTAGCTTTAGTTCACACTGCAAGTGAAGGTCATGAGCAAGGGTCTTTTGAGCTGCTTTGTCCTTCGTTTTGTTCAGAATTAGATAAATTGAATAATTTACACCATTCTGAACATAATTCAAATATGATAGGTGTATACTAAATGTATATTCTGATAAGTGCTATATCTATACTGTAGGTCAAATCACATATCGTGAGAAAACATAAAGCAGAATTGAAATATTAGTAAATTCGATTATTTTTACTGAAAATCACTCATCATGATAAACGTGAAAAAACGTCAATATATTACCAAATTCGAAGATTTTTACTTCAAATCATAAAGCGAGGTTTCGTGTTATTTAGATAATTAAAAAAACATGAAAATGTTGTTTCAATACAAATGATAAAAATCAATGTGTTTTTATAGAATTCACAATAATGTTCCTGATTTTCCGTTTATATAACCGAAAAATGTACACGTAAAACCGCTCTAATCCGGCTGAAACGTCGAAAAATGCAATAAAAACAGGATTTTCCTCCTATTTAATATGTTACTGTTTAGTAAACAAGTAAATTTATTGAGAATAAAATACATCCCAGTTAGATAGAGTAGCTTAGGCTATTTCTACCCTCCTCTATGATGCTCACAATTCCATGCAGTACAGAAATTATATTATACATTGCAAATACATTTACATTAATTTAATAGTCATCACATGATACATATTACAAAATATATTTTAGTATCACTCTTTTGGGATAAAAGCGCCTAAGAATTTTCTCTATTACCACACTAATAACCATTACCACACATCCAAACAGTTTGAAGTAGTATGTTAATTATTTTAATGCTAACATCACCTAGTGTTCCCAGGAAGTCATCCATCAAAGTACTAACTAAACCCAACGTTGTTTAACTTCGCTGGTAGTAGAAATAGGTAGTAGAAATAGTAGTAGTAGGGGGGGGGGTAGAAATAGCCTAAGCCACTCTATCCCTTTGAGATGTATTTCTTTCTTATCTCAATAAACATACTTGAACTTGAACTTCGCTGATCGGATGAGAAGCGGTGTTCTCAACGTGCTGTGGCCAACGGAATGAACGTAAAGTACTCACCGCGTGATAGAACAACCAATCCAAGAACACCAGTAAATGGCTTAGCCAATCAGAGAAAGGCCTCGCAACCACCCACCCCCTAGGGACGAGACGACAGGTCAGTCTTCTTTCGACTGTCGAGTGGGACGTCTGTTTTATAGTGCTCCATTGGAAACTTTGTAATAACTTTTGTTTTTTATTTGTAATCTTTAAAGTGAGTTTGGAAAGAGGTTTTGGCATTTGGATTGAGAAAGACTTGCCCTTTGATATCGTGGCTGCTGAAATTGACATGTGCGAGTTATCATTTGGTGATAGTGTGTTGCACAGAGATGTTGCTATAAACATTTTCGGCATTTATAGCGACCATGAAGTATTGGCGTTTTCTAGAGCTTTATAAGCTGTGTTGCCTTCCAAAATATATATCCAAGTGTTCAATAAGGCTGGACCTTACGGGGCTATTCATGCCCGTGCCACCTCTTGGGTGGCTTAATGTTCATCAATCATGACTGGACTATTTGTTGACTGGGTTTAATCTTAGCCGAGCCTCGAAGATCATCATGCCAAGGACAGCGTCATCAGTATTCAAGGAATGGGGACTGGTATTTCGGCTCGCTTAAAAGGAACATTGAACCAGCCTCTTCCAGATTGTCGGTAAAGTAGATTCTCACCATTTCTTTAAATACGTGTACATTCACTGACCTTTACAGGGAGGGAAAGAGTGGTAGAGACTAAGCCTCATGACCCCCAACTGATCAATTTCGAATTTTTATCGATTAACAATTTTATAAATGCTCAGCTCAGCCCGTCCTCTACAAGGGCAAAATGTCTTTCATGAAGCCGGCACAACTCATGTTATCTTCTTGAGGTTATCTTGAGATGATTATGTTTATATAAGTACATGCGACTCGCAACTCATGACATTCGAATATTTCTATAAAAAGTGCTTTGCTGAGGACTTTTTCGAATCGCATCTTGGAAAATACTTCACCCACGTACTTCAAATAATAAAAATTGCAACAAAACCGAAACACGTAACCTAGGCCAAAATGTGCACAACTTGCTTTTATATAATATTTGAGAAAATTGCCGTTTTGAATGAATATAATGTTAAAATTCATAGTCTTTCGGGTCAGCCGCTGGGTAGAGGGATCAACCTAAAGACGGGTTGGCGTTCGAATAGCACCTTCATAAGATTCCCACCATACTTCAAATACAAATAATTGCCAGCAGGACCTAAACACCAAATCACATTTAGGCCTTACTGTACACAAAACTCGATGTATAATATTGTTTATATATGAGAAAATGTGTAAATCACGAAAATTAACAAGTGATGAAAAATGTGAGTGTCAGACCACGAAGGAAAAATTGAAACAGGAATTTTCTTAATTACTTTTCGCATTTAATAATACATCTTCAGAAGGAATAATCATGGAAAAATATCTATTAGATACTGTACATTAAAATTGCCCGAGAGGGTTGCCCTTGCTTCCGTCCTAAAAACTCTACGGACAACTGCCAAACGATAACCCCTCTTTGAACAAATCCACAAGGGCCATGACGAGGATGTTGAAATTGAAATAAGTGGATGATCCTCGTTATGGCCCTTGTGGATTCTCACCATTTGATGCATCACGTTAGTGTGATCTCTGTGTGATAACCCCAATTGCTTGTAGGGATTTATTGAGGAGACTCGAGTTAGGTACTGGTTGCTCTTAAAACACTGACCCCGCTAAAATTTATTTTAAGGTGTTTGCTGGGAATTTGGATTTCAATCAACAGACAAGAAAATTACACTCGCTGGGATGAAACAAGGCTGTTATGTTCACAGAGGCGGAAAAGTGTATGGGGCCTCTAGGGAAAGATAATTCTTTAGTTACAAAATAATTCTTTGTAGTTATTTTCACAACGAAGGAGCTTCTGGGAGCAGTATAATTGTAATACTATGACTAGTGGGTCAACATCTTTATCGACCAAATTTTAGTTTTACCAAAGTTGAGTAATTTAGTCTGGTGTTATTGCAGTGAGGCTGCTGATTATAGTTACTGTCATGTATATCAGTAATTGTTTCAGAAAAACCTATTGACTAGAATATCCCGAAAAAGATGCAATGTTTCATTTTAGCTGTCGGGTTTTTATGCATGAAGAAAAAATACCAATTTTATATATATATAAAAAGGGTAGATATTATATTACTAAACATAACATTTAAACAGATGGAAAAATGTCTTATACTAAATTATATTAACTTCAGACGTTTCCATGTGACACACAAGTATTAAGTTAAATTATTTGAAATAGTAGACTGAGTTAGTTTAGTTCATTTATTATGCACCCCATACCCATCTTGTGGGCGGTAGTGGAAAGGGTTACAGAGGCACATAATGGGCTCAGGGACTGAACCCCACAATTCATTTGGCTAAGCAAGTTACAATCTTGATGAGCTAGTTACAAAATTCAATATAAGTCATCACATCAACAATGGGTTCGAGATCGACCTCAAGTACAGGTTCTAAATTAAGCAACTGACATATGTGGAGAGCTAGTGTCAAAATTTATATGTTTGTCCTGCACACCGCCCCCCATCCAGTGGGCAGCGGTGGATAGGTTACAATCACTCAGTTACTACCTACAGTTAGCAAACTGGGGATATTTGGCTAAAATTTCTGGTAGCAGATCATTTTGAATGAAATATTGACACATCGCTGGAACATTGGTTATAGAATTCTCTAAATTCACGTATCTTTTCGCACTCCATCACATAGTGACGGAGGGTGTGCGAATAATTTTGTTGAGTTTACATTTGGTCAGGTCTACATCAGCAGATAATGAGAATTCCCACAGAGCAAAAGGAAATATATATACACACACACACTACCTATTGAAGATTCCGGGGGTTAATGTCCCCGCGGCCCAGTTTCTGACCAGGCCTCCTGATTGCTGATCAGATCCACCAGGCAGTGTGAGGCTGTTCGCAGCCTGACGTGAGACAGCCTGGTTGATCAGGTATCCTTTAAAGGTGCTTGTAGAGTTTTCTTTTGAACACTATACTAATCAATAAGTGGTTATATAGTTTAGATAGCTAAATTAACCTAATATCCCCATTTCACCCGATGGTTCGTCATTTTTTGGACGCGAGTTGCCCACTAACTCGCCT